TGTATATGAATCACATTAATAACGGCACAGAGTGGACACCGTGGACATTAATAACTGTGTACTGCTGCACAGAGCACATAGCACACTGCATATGCCGTGCACATCAATAACAACTCATAACCTCCAACTGCAATATGAATCATTCTGCCATGTGAACACTGAAACCACACAACCTATGGCTGTGTTAATGCAAACAGATAAAAACAGAAATCACAATCGTTTGCCTCAGGACACTAAAATCCCCCATCTCCCCCTCAGTTTGGTGGACTATTAGGATCCATTAGCTTTGTGTACTGTTTTCCTTATCATACATGTTTGTCTACCAGCTCCTCTTCATGCTGGGTGATGCACGGTGGGGGAAGCTAATGAAGCCAATAATGTAGCAGTGAATGTCTGATGAGAGAAGATGAGCTCAGGTTATGCGCTATTCCCACGTTAGTTTATAGTTCAGTGGTTGAATTCATGGATTTGGTCTGATTGAGTAAAAAATAAACTACTTTGTCTTGCCGTACTTTAAGTTTTTGGATTTTATACATTCAGAAAGCCTCTTCCAAATGATCACCTAACAGACTGCGCTGACATATGAGTGACCCACATCTTATCATTATGTTACGACCATCTCAGAATCCACACATGCAGTTTGGCTGCTTTTTAAAGTATAATAGCTGTGCTGCACAGAGACAGAGAGCAGATGAGACTGCTCAGACGACGCCTGTGATGTCCACCTGCTGTGAGAGACAATAGCCAGATGTGAGGAGGAGAGTTTGACACATGCAAGTCTGCTCATTGTGGCCAATTACCGGGTTGAAGCATCCTCTTGGCAGGCACACAGCCAGGGAGAGAGAGAGAGTGAGGGAAAGAAAGAGGAGTAGAGAAAGAGAGAGAGAGAGAGATAGGGGCCACAATGTTTTTTCATCAAGAGGGAACCGTCATTTAGAATCTGACTCAACCGTCATTTGAGTCAGATTCCTACACTACTGTGACATTTTTCTTCACATAATGTTTGGGCCTTAAAAGTGCGACTGACTGAGGAGCCTCAGACTTATTGCCACTGTTGGGTTCAAAAAGCTGCCATCAATATTAGCAAAAAGTCACTGAAGTGTTTTATTTTAGCAGAGAGAAGAGGACAGTGAGGACACAAATATAACATCTTAATATGCATTCCTTACTGCTCCCACAAACCAGGCGATGAAGGTATTCATCCACTCCTCCTCTTTATGAGAGCTCATCACAGCTCCCCATTCTGCAGCCTCAGTGACAACATTTGGTGAAGACCCCACGAAACATTTCATCCTCTGTCCTGCTAATTAAATGGGTCTCAGATGAGCCCACTGAGCCCACTCGCCTGCTTGTCCCCCATTTGGAGTGCCACCAGAGTTTAATATATGGCATTAAACAGGGATTGAGTGAATGTGAAGCCCACCTCCCTGTGGGAATGTAATGAATGATTATAGGGCATAATCTTGGTAATGCAGGAATCCTTTAGTTTAGTTTCTGTCCTCTTATTTAACTTAGTGTCTGTTAAATATGTCGACGTCTTTGGCTATTTTTGGCACATTTGAGATTTTGAATAGAGTGAGTGGGGTTTTAAAATGCATATCTCGCAGATGCATAAAGTGAGTTTTAATTAGTTTTTTCCCCATCACTCTCAATCCTCCATTTTCTGCTTTTGTTTCAACATTGTGATAATATTTTATACAGCATGGGGATCATATTATTGTTTGTATTTCTGCAGAAGTGGCTCGTTCACACTGCTAAACAAACATAAAATCAAACATTTCTCCTCTCAAAGGTAGGACACAAAGCAAACAACACACACCTTCAGTGTGTGCGCGACTTCAGGGAACCCCAGAGGCAAACAAAAGGTTAACATGCTGAAAATAAAAGTGAGCTCTATTGCAACACAGCACATAAGTCATACTGTAACGAGGACATTTTTAATAGATGTAACAATTAGTAAAGTCACCATACCAGTAAATCACAGGGAAGTCTGGGAGCACTGGTTATCCTTTACCCAGGATGCATCAGTGTTCTCCTGGGGTGAACTCTGAAAGGTCAGATGGTGTCTCATTAACACGCAGTGGGGCGGGCTCCACACGCAGGGGCCGGACTATTTACACAAAGCTGGTTTGTACATTAAGGCCAGGGCTTTAGCGCTGTTACAAAAGAGTCAACGAGTTGGACGGCTTTCACTGAACTCTGGTGCTCAGGTTTTACAAACAATGAATTACTTTTACATCCACTAGATGCTGTTCAAAATGCGCATGGGCTCACCATTCTTACATTTGATAAACAAGGCCTCAATTTTTAGTCAAAGGAGGGTGATGAATCCACCTCTTAACACTCCTTTAATCCCCCTTTTTGGAGAAAAAACTGATTAGAGCTGATTTATCCTATAATCATATCACCCTGGTGTGCAAATGCTCTTAACTTTCCTCAGTACAAAGTCTGAACAAGGGGTCCTCCTTCTGCTGTATAAGCTTATTTTACGATATTACCTAAGTGCACCCTCCATATACTGTATACTAAAGGAAGAGAGTCATTCTCAGTGAACTTAAGACTGTCGTAAACTTCATGGCTACCTATATGAGGTATCAGGGGAGACAGAGAGAGGTGCATACTGGACTGTTAGCCCTCAGTATCAAAGCTGATGCATCTATTCAGGACTCTGTTATCCTTGAGACTCCTGAGAGATAAGTCAAACTCAGAGCTAACACAACAGATGCAGTTTGTCTCTATGTGGCTAAAAGTTACCTCATGGCATTTTGACCTCCCGAAAAACAGGTCTGGATCAGAGCCGGCCCAAGGCATTAGCGAACTTAGCGCCTGCTTAGGGCCCCCAAGAGCAATCAAAAAATAATAATTTTTAAAAATGTTTTTGCATGTATGAGGGATGTTTTCTGTATGATCAAAATTAAAATAAAACAAAGTAAAAACATTTTAGTGTTGCTGATGATGTATGCCTATGATTCTTACTGCCGATATGTCAAAGCTCCGCTACCGTTATGTGCCTTTTGCTGTGCAATGTGCACTGAGCATCCAAAGTGCAGGTAGTTGTGGGGCAAAATATTGTCGCAAAAAAGGACATATCCTTCAGGAGCAGAGAAAAGAAAGAGGAAGAAAGAGAAAGAAGAGAAAAAAGGCCAAGATAAAGGGATGTTTGCATGTCATATGTTAATCAAAGAGATTTGTGAAGGTGTGTGAATGATCAACAATCAATATTATTGGCAGAAACAGAGGGCCCCAAAATCAAATTCTGCTTAGGGCCCCATTGAGGCTTGGCCGGCTCTGGTCTGGAGAGTAATTCTACTGATATTATTTACAGAAATCAAAAATCCAACCAGCGTGTATATAAGCACTTGTAGAAACTTCTCCTAACAGGCAGAAAACTTAAGCAGGACCAGATTTACCAAAGGACAGTCATCTGCAGCAGCATGGCCAAATGTGGTATGAGAGTTGGTTTCATAGTCAGCAGTGGTTTACATACAAATCTTTCCAGGAAAACACCTCAAGATTCTCTATCGCTCACTATCATCTGAATTTACACTACAACAGCAACTACAAGCAGTAACATCAGGGGGACACCTCGTCTGTTAAATATTAATTCAGAAGCATCAGAGGGGCCTCTGTTGTGTGTTCTAATGAATAAAACACTATGTTTATCCTTCCTGTTTAACGTTAAGTCCCCATGAACAGTCACAGGGACCAGGAGAATATTTACTCGCATCGGGACACTGGGGAGTTGGATTATCTGCTGGCGGCTTTGTAGTTTTCTGAAGCTTCCCCGTGTGACATGTTCCACGGAGAGTGCTCTTATTTACTCTCTGGTCCTCTGTGTATAGGCCTCCTTATTGTTTGTTCTTACATGCCACCACTCCAGAGAAATGTGCTCCAGGAGAGAGACAGAGAGAGGGAGAGAGACGGAGCTCTGAAGCTGGGATCATTACATGTAGCTGAGACTACAGAGCAGATTGAGATGTTGTCACTACACAGAATGGGAAAGATTCAATGTTGACTAAATGAAAACATCTCTATCGAGGCAGTTTTACTCTTATTTTGTTTGGTTTAAAAACACACGCTCTTTCTGCTATAGAGAGTTAATGAAGTGCATGTTTGTCCTGTTAATTACTATTTGTATGCCTTCAAAAAAATCAAAGTTAAGTGAAAATATATTTGAAAAAAGCAGGAGTATCAGATGTGACCATTAGAAGAGATGCATGCAGTTTTCTTTTACACCTCAAGGTGGCGACGTTGGGTTTCCAAAGCGTGTCTCTGAACGGGACCCCTGCCACGCTCTTTTTGGACACCTCTGCCCTCCTTAAACAATGAACTGTCTGATCTGTGGACATCTATTTATCCAACTTGACGCGATATGAAGGTTATTTATCATTACACTTACAATAAAAAAAAATCTTTAGGGTGCATTTTGACTCGAGCTGTTTTAGGCTGGAAAACGCTTGTATCTGTTTGGTATAAAGTTGATTGCATAATTAATGACAGACAGACAGAGACACACCTGTACGAGGTGTTGTCATATCCTCACTCTGAATAATGAAGGATTAACTCAGCCTTACCTCTAGACAGAGCCGGAAGAAACCACAGTTTTGGTAAATGTTCGCTTTAAATCTCACAATCAATTAAACTGTCTCATTTGACGATGATATCAATCATAAACATTAAATATGAAATTGTACAATATGCTAATCTCAAACAGAGAGACACATCAATCCTCAGAGTCCCTCGATTCTGTTTTTATCTTTTCTCGGTTTTTTTTTCCTTTCTTTTTTTTTAAATTTTCTTTCAGGTAATCAAAAACTGAATAAAAAAACTCAAATGTCAATCAGCTCACGGGCTTGAACAGTTGAGAAAACTTCGCTTCCTCCACTATTATGCTAATTACCGTCCCAGCCGGGGCTCCTGATTGGCTGAGTCTCGGTCAATTTCATATTTCAGCCTGACGTCAGGCGCCTATAAAACTAAGCAATGCTTTTTAACTCGTCGGCTGACTGATCCTTTAGAAAAAAAAATCTATCAATCCTTGGGTGGAGTTTTTTTTTCATTCTCCACAAAGCAACTATTTGGCCGGGACACGTACGTGAGCCTCCTCAAATTGGCGCACTAATCCTAAAAGGAGCCATGAAGTGTTAAATGGTAGAAACAGAGAGAGCGGCGCTCAGACACCCGCACGCTGGGAGAGAGGGAGGAAACAGCGCTGCTCCAATGCGTCTGTGCAACACAGACTGAAGAAAAAAAAACTTATCGACGCACAAAACCAAAACCTGAGCTGCGCAATTAGTGCGTGAAAACCAACTTTTCCTCCGGTTTTGAAGAAAATAAATAAAGAAATCAAGCTGGCTCAGTGCGTGTCTCAGCAGCCCACTTTGACAGGTGCTCCTCACCCCCTTTGGAGGACTGTCAACAGCAAGAGGATGGCATCAGAGCTGGCAATGAGCAACTCCGACCTGCCCACCAGTCCCCTGGCCATGGAATATGTTAATGACTTCGATCTGATGAAGTTTGAAGTGAAAAAGGAGCCGGTGGAGCCCGATCGCAGCATCAGCCAGTGCAGCCGCCTGGTCGCCGGGGGATCCCTGTCTTCCACCCCGATGAGCACGCCTTGCAGCTCGGTTCCCCCCTCTCCAAGCTTCTCGGCGCCCAGTCCGGGATCAGGGAGCGAACAGAAGGCGCACTTGGAGGATTTCTACTGGATGACCGGGTACCAACAGCAGTTGAACCCCGAGGCTCTGGGCTTTAGCCCAGAGGACGCCGTAGAGGCGCTGATCAGCAGCAGTCACCAGCTCCAGACCTTCGATGGCTATGCCAGGGGGCAGCAGTTCGGCGGCGCAGCCGGGCCAGGAGGCGCCATGGCCGGGGAGGAGATGGGATCAGCGGCTGCCGTGGTGTCCGCGGTTATTGCTGCAGCCGCAGCTCAGAACGGGACTCCCCACCACCACCACCATCACCACCACCACCACCACTCAGGGGCACACCACCCCTCCTCCGGGTCGCAGTCCGGTGGCGGCGCAGGAGGAAACCACCAGCACCTGCGCCTGGAGGATCGCTTCTCGGACGAGCAGCTGGTGACCATGTCAGTCCGGGAACTGAACCGGCAGCTCCGGGGGGTCAGCAAAGAAGAGGTGATCCGTCTGAAACAGAAGAGGAGGACACTAAAGAACAGAGGCTATGCCCAGTCCTGCCGGTACAAGCGGGTCCAACAACGGCACGTCCTGGAGGGGGAGAAGACGCAGCTCATACAGCAGGTGGACCACCTCAAGCAGGAGATCTCCCGGCTGGCCAGGGAGAGGGACGCCTACAAGGAGAAATACGAGAAGCTCATCAGCACAGGCTTCCGAGAAAACGGGGGCTCCGGCAGCGACAACAACCCCTCATCCCCGGAGTTTTTCATGTGAGTCCCGGCGCTGAAAAGTTTTTATATCGGCCCCCACAAAGAAAGCCAGAATAAAGTTTGATGATTTTACGCGCAGCTTTACATAGATTGTGCAACTTATGGCGACTTTTAAATAAAGCTGCGCTAGATAAGGACTAAAGAGTTTTTCACTTTTAAACTGTTTTGAGAGTAAAGAACTTTGATTTATGTCACATTGCTTTAAAAACACATAAATCAACCTGTCTACATGACTCTAAATAAGAATCCACTTTCTACAGCCGATTCAAAGCCTTTTTTTCTTTTCACACACGAAGCAGAAAAACTAAACTTTACCTAATAACAGCCTCGTCCATCCTCTTCACTTTCTCAAACTATTTTGTGGGTGTGAAATAAAACCTCAGGCACAGCAGCTTTATTTTGATGTGATTATTATTTTTTCCTCCAAAGTCAATTTTGTTCTGATATGAACGAACTCATCCTCATATCATTCGCTTTTTTTGTCTTGTGAAAAACATCCAAAGTCAGCTGCTGCAGACCTTTGGAGGATTGTTGTCTGACACTTCTTTGTGAAGCCATGCATGCTGGTCATGTACGGATTGTGTTTTTGCTATTTTTTCTTTTTCTTTATTTTGTTGTGAACTTGTATAAAAACTTGTGTATGCATTGTTCAACTTCATCACTTTTTATGGGTTCTTTGTAAAAAAAAAAGTGTGAGCCTCCATCCGTCACATTGTTTTGTATAAGTTTCCCGCGATCGTGGACTATACGTCTCCAGGCTTCATTTGGAGTCCTCTCAGAATTATGTCATGTGGGGAAAAGAAGAGCTTTTATATCGATGTAAATTTAATGGCCTGCTTACAGACAACACCGGATAATATTCTCTTAAAACTATTTATTTTTTCCAAGAAAGCTCAGACTAAACAGATCACTGTGATCAACAAGTGCGCAGCAGACCAGACACTTAAATACTGATGCATGTCCTGGAACTAAACAGAAAGTCATGCAAAAAATGGTGCAACAAGTTATCATGTCTTTCCTCCACTTTGTTTCTTAATTTGTTTCTCTGTCATTTAAGGAATTGTGATTGCCCACTGAACTTTGTGGAGTGTTTCTCTATAGGAAAGAAAAAACAACAACAACCAATTCAAATTTACTGTTCCCCGTCATGTCCAATAATTCAGCATGAATTGCAGCCATTCATCTTTGGTGACTTCTCTAGCTGCAGTCAAGTGTTTTGTCTGGACAGAAGAGTTAAACTGGCATCGTGACACACGGTGTTCGCTCTTTAAAATGGAATTGAATAAATATGCCGTTCATCAATAAACCTCCATGAATGGAAACTAAACTACTCTGCTGAAAATGTTTTTTTATTTTATCTTAATTTCTCTCTTTTGATCTGCATGATGTTTTTATTTGTCTTTGAGGGGGGGTCTTTCGAGTTTATCGATCTTGAATTAAACCTGTACAAAAAAAGCAGAATATGCAGGAGACAAATGACAAATTCAACAGTTGTTCTGGTTCACCTGCGTTTAGCCAAAGCGCTTTGCATTTGTTGCGCACGGGGTGGAAATGATAACAGACTTTAAAGTCCAGCTCCAGAAAACACGATAGTTATAATATGAAATAGAATTAAATAGGCAATGCATTTAATTTAATCTCAAAAATGCAAATCATTTTAAGGATGTTTCTTTCGCCTTTAAATGAGTTTTATGTCTGAATAAATAAAAGAAGACGATCTTCACCTGTTGCGTAATCTAAAACACACTCCTCACTTAATCTCCTTAAAAATGAGCAGAAAATCAGACATCGCTGCTCAGATTTTCTCTTCTTTCTTGTGTATTTTTTCTCTTTCAGACTTCCAGGGCCTTCTTTCTGTTTGTGCTGCAGCTGTCCTCGAAAAGGCAGAGTCAATGATTGATTTTTGAGTAAACTTGCACTTTTCACTCGGTTGCTTTCCACTTGTTGAATATTGCTGGGCGAAAGTTTTTTGTCTAATTTGTTCGCATTGAGATTCACATGAAAGAAAATATAAAATGAGAAAAATCTTTTTTCAATTTAGGTATTAATTATGGTCAAATATCTGATATTTCGAGAATGGGGATTTTCGCGTTTAGCAGTTCCGTTGGATGAAACTTTACGCAGCCAAAACGTGATAAAACAGCTTAAAATAAATTCTCCTTACAGTGAGGATTATTCGCCGTAGAGCTATTTTCTGTGCTCTTTCTCTAAAATGCGAGGATCATTTAGTTGTCTTCTTAAATTTTTTAAAATGCTGATAAGAGTGAAAAGAAAAAAAAACTGAAGTGATCTGGATTGGTCGCGCTTAACAGGTCAAAACCCTCCTCTGCCCTGGATTCAGTCTGACTTTGCAGAGTGTTTCTGCTCCTGAAATGAGCATCCTAAAAGGGCAGAATGTTCCAGAGACAAAGACTCCTCATTGTGCTGCTGCAATACAGGTCACGATAAACTCCACGCGTGTGCTGCTGGAAATCTGTGCTGTTCCGTTTGGATGTGTGTGGTGGTGGACAAGACGAGAGTGCTGGGTATATGAACATATGGAGGGGGTGCTTCTTGTAAACTTTGGTGCGCAGCAGAGTGAGAGTGGTTCAGGCTGTGAGTCAGAGTCTCACCTGTGTGGTGACTGCTGTGACAGTGTGTCTGATCCGCGTGGTCACCTGACTTACATTTGCCCCAGAGTGAGGAACAAGATGGGAGAGCATGATCCTACCAGTGCCTGCCTGCAGGAGCGATTTTCTCTGTAGTTAGAAGTGAGTGAGAGACAGAGAGACAGAGAGAGAGAGAGAGAGAGAGAGAGATGCTGGCTGCTCCTCTCAGATGATAAACGATCAGAGATGCCTCCTAGCTGAGAGGAGAGGGCCTTTTAGTGAGCATGTGTCCACTAATTTATGGCCCTGCTATCTGATTAGGTCAATATAGTGTGCTATTTAATTACATTTGTGTTATAACCTGGGAGTGGAGATGCTATTCTTCTTCTTTCTTCTGTGAGGCAGATATAGGATTAGTCCAGTCTCAGGGCTCAGCTCAGGACAGTCTCACCTGAAGCTGCTTGTGTATCATAGTGTGATAGACAGGAGGACTAGACTTAGTGGAGAGCCTCAGGAGGAGCCTGTGTGTATGTGTACATGTGTGTGTGTGTTATTCAAGAATAATAAAGTGGAAAATTGCTGATCAGGTGGAGTGGAAACAGTGTAGGATGCTGTTTATATGTGTGTGTGTGTGTTTTGACTTGTAGTCACAGAGAGTCGCCGCAGGACTCAGTAAAACTGAATCACTTCCTGTGTTAAAGGAGGACAGAAGGCACAGGAAACAATATTTCAGCGCTTCCTCCTCATTTCTCAGCACTCCACCAACTACTCTCTCTCCGCCTCACGCCTCCTCCTCTCAGCACAAAAAGAAAAAATCAGTCTCCACATACAAAAACACACACAGCACATTATTAATCTTATCAGTATGAACTGTAATTCTATTCTCCGGCCCCGTGTATTGACTGGAGCGCTGTGATCATTTGCAGTCTGTCCAATGATTAGGTTATTAAAGATAATGCAGTTGTCTGCTGTCACAATATTGGACTCTCTCTTTCAGGTCAACTATGGGAAATCACTTTGAAATTTATCAGTATTGACATTTGAATCATCATCGCGTACTTTGCTTTAATGCCTCAGAATAAATAGGACAAAAGGAGGTGCGCGCTGTATAGTGTCTATTTGTATGAGTGCTCAATAAGCAGCCGCCATTGTCTTTTTCTTTGACCTTGTGGTGCAGGGGAGTGGATATAGTATGTTCTTAAAGTGAGTGCATTCAATCTACAGGAAGGAGTCATTTTATCAGGAAAACATGATAAATGTCAGTCGACAAATATTAAGAATAATATTTATATCACCTGAGACACACAGAGGAGCTAATAAATGCGAAAAACTGCAGCTGCTTTAATTTTCTGTTAATTTTTCCAGACTTGAATCTAGTTTTATGAGAGTAACAAGAGTAAGTACAACATGATTTCATGTGCAATCCCCAATCAATATGACATTAAAATAAATAAAATAGCGGCCAACATTTTAAATTTCACCATGCCAGAATTATAAGAGGATCTAGAGGTAAAATCATATGAGAACAAATTGATTTGTAATGACGTGGGTCATTCATTTCATTCCACTAGATTTGTTTTTTGTTTTTTTTTCCTTGCGAGCAGAACCTTTCCTGTGAAAACATCCCCAAAGGGTTAAAACAAATTTACATTCAAAAGAGGAAACAATTTCAATCTCTTGCACTCAATTCACATCTGCATCACTCCACGCGATAAACATTTACATTTAAAGTGATTTAAATCAGCTGCGTTTATGTTCCTCTGTGCTGCGTCCATCATGTAGACCTGCAGAGATCTCTCCCCCTCTCTCTCTCTCTCTGTCTCTCCCGGTTTCTCTCTCCCCCTCTCCTGTCTCGCAGTGTCCTGAGTTATGTGTCATTTATTTGAAACCCTAATAATTTAACCTGTCCCCTCCTGTCGTGGCCATGCATGTGGTGAGAATGCAGCAGCTGTAAAGCAGTTTGTGCCGCTGCCTCTGATTGTATATCTGTCTCTTTTGGCTTCACATGGTGAATATTTCCTCCTATGTGTAGAGAGGAGGTAATGTGATTCCCTCTGCTCATTCCTATAGTCTGCTGTTGAACTGAGATTACTGTAAAGAATGTGCACATGCAGTGTGAAGTGTCTTGCAGCAGAAATCCAAACAGTAGATTTGCATTTGCTCTCCTCTGAATGCATAACTAAAGGGCAATAGATGAAAGCTAATTATGATTTAATGATATGTGATCACAATATTCGGAGCTGCAGATAAACAGAGCTTAGGCTGTGTTGATGTTTTCACTGAGTTGAGTTGTAGGGCACAGAGTCAGTGGAGTGTGTGTGTGTGTTTTGGACCGCAGCAGGCGTGTCGGTGGTTTGTCAAAAAAAAATTAATAAATAAAAGAAAAGAGTGCATTGTGTGACTTAATGAGTGTGTGCATGTTTAAGTCCGCACATGCACAAGTTTGTGTTATGCAGGGTGGATTTGGAGCCGAGCCCGACCCCTGTGTGTTTTACCTGCATCTCAATGAAGCCAGAGAGGTGATTTACCCTTCTGCTGCAGTCAGCCTCTCTCTCTCTCCCTCCCTCTCTCTCTATTTTGCTCCCTCTCTCTCTCTCTCTCTCTCTCCCAGCCAGTCAAACAGACATTGATCTCTCTGCCAGGCAAGGTGACCCACAGTGTTGGTCGGCTCTTCCACAGTCTCTCCTCTCCCTTTCATTTGTACCTGGGAAAGGCCTTGACCCTGAACACTGCTGCCGAGTGGCCGCTCTCTGCACGTGGACCCCACTTCCCTGTATCAAGCCCAGTCTGTGTGTGTGTGTGTGTGTGTGTGTGTGTGTGTGTTTCTGGCTGTTTGTCTGTGTCCACGCACTGCTGTGTGTGATTATATGAATATAATGTCAACAGAGATGGAAATTCAACTGAAAACAAAGTTCAGGTCAGAGTGGGAGTCTTGTGTATCCATGTCAGTGTGTGTGTGTGTGTGTGTGTCAGAGCGGTTTTCAGGTGACTGCATGGAGTTGTGTCACTGAGAGCTCCTGTAGCTGAATGGGTCAGAGTCCATTTGGTCTCAGTGTGAGTCGGATTACAGGGAAATGAATGGCTCTCTTTGTTCCTAAAGATGGATTGAGGGGCATTAATACACTTGTCGCCCCTTTTCCTCAGTTGCTGAGGTGAGGCTGAATTAAAAGTTTACTTGTGTTAGTTGTTACTCTTTAAAAAAAAAACGCAGTCATCCCTGATATTTGCACATATTGTGTTAACAAACAAATATTTGGATACTCCTGTCAGACAGGAAGATATCCAGATATAGACCTCGGCTTTTTATTTATTCATAGTTAACCTTTAAGAAATTACGTATTCTTTCTTTAATTTTGAGACCGTTTTTTAAAGTTAATTGAATTTAAATCATTTATACTGAACAGCACAAAAAGATAAAATTATATTATTGCGTGACAGAATGGTAACAACCGAAATGTATTTTAATCATACTATTAAAGATTGATTTTGCGTTGCAGACACACTGCAGTGTGTGTCCTCTATTCAAAATCTTATATATAGTTGACTGACATGTTACATTGACTCGACTAAAAGAATAATTTAGTTTTTGTGTGTTTATTTCAGCTGCTGCCTGTCACTAATATATACTTCTGTTTTTGTGCTATAAACCTGATTTCTTAAGTTATTCCACAAACTGTTTAATATCTTTTAATACATTTTTCATATAGTTTTACATCATTCATAAATTCATTTCACCGGCAAATTAAAATAAACTAAAACACTCTTTAATTTAACGTTCTTAAAGGACAGTTATTCCTTTCTATAAACGGCCACTTTTTAACCTAATCTTTAAATTCATCCCCTTTTTGTTGTGTATAATAATTATTCCAAACACACACAACCTCATACTCGCGGTCCATCATGTTGTCAAAGTTCCTTTTGCTGCTATTAGAGAGTTTGGATTTCTTACAAAGTTTCTGTCTCCTATTTCTGCAGGACATCGAGAAAATTCCTCCATCTGTGATACAGAACTGTGACGTCTCCGTCCCACCACCTGGGAGTCTGAGGTAACTTCACCTGTTCAGCCTTTTGTTGTTACAACACACTCATGTTTAACATTAACGGTCAGAGACAAAGTAAAGCGCACTATCAGCTATAGAGAAAAAGGATGAGATGAATTTCATATTCGCTGAACGCTCATGAAAATACAAGAGGTGGTTTTCAAGGAGGAAAGAAGAAAGTCGGTAACGTGGTATGAGAAGTTTAATATGAATTATAGGATGACAAACAAAACTACTTAACATCTTATATTTACAAAAGATCTACGTCTTTACTTTAAGTCAGTTATTTAAAATTGTTAGAGAAGGATAAACATGACCGAGTAGATTTAAAAACACTGTTGAGTGTTTGTAAAATAAGTGTTAACAGGAGTTCTTAAAATTCTCTGTGTGAAAAAAGTTGAAATTATTGGTTGGGCCTTTTCTTTGTATGAAAACAGAATTGTCATTGTCTTAATTTCCTTTAAAATAATAATACTAAGGATGCACTCACAGACAGCATGAGGATATTTCTTTCTTCATGTTAATCTCCATGACGCTGTCTGGATATTCGCAGTGTGTGATGCTGCATTTTTTGTTATTTGGGCTCTGTCAGTGCTGCTTGATTGACAGGAGGGTGACATTGGCAGTGCTCACGGGATGATGCCAAAACCTTACTCTGTCTTGACCCTTTGATCTCCTTCACTCTCTCAACACTCTCTGCGGGGATGTACACGAAAAAACATCTTTTCTCTCTGGCTGACACATAGATGGACGGATGGTGCGGTTGTAGAGGATGGCAATAGATGCAGAGAAAAAAGAAAGAGGCGGGAGCGCAAGAGATGGTTTTTAATTAGACGGGAAGGATGGATGAGAAATCATGCATGCATGCAGAGTTGTTTTGAGAGGGGGTTTATCGAGGTGAAGAAAGACCTGGATTTGAATGCAGTCAGGAGCGCCAGGTTGAGGGTGCAAGAGGAGGTGAGGAAAGGTTGGTGGTAGGGCTCCTGGCCACAGCTGCAGACAGACAGGCAGGGTAACCAGAGGCAGCCGGTGACCTTCTCTGCCGCTGGAGGATCGAAGGCTTTATTTAAAGGCCTGGTCAATGCTGGGGGCTGCTGAGGTATCAGCCTTGCAGCCAGGCGACTCATCACCACTGTAATACAACTCTCTAACCCTAACCCACCCCCTCCCACACACACACACACACACACACACATACGCACACACACACACACACACACACAGGCAGGACAGGACACTCTGTGGACACCTCAGGTTTTACAGTATAGAGTGGAAGGGCTGGACAGAAGAAAGTACAGCATCAGCAGCGGCTAATTTTACTGTACAGCAGACAGAATACTCTACTTTCCACATGCGCTCAGCATTGTGAAGCACATGCTAGTTTTACCTTCATTTGCACTCCATCTCTGTTAGATCGGTGACACTACGACCAATTTTAGACACGCTGCAAAAAGGAACGGGAAACCTTAAATAAGAAGCGCTGAGGCGGAGAGGAGGAGGTGGAAGAAGAAGGTTGGGAAAGAGTTAAAAAGTGTGCAGGCTACTTAGCTAGGACACCTGCGTCTGTTTGCATGTGTGTGTGTGTGTGTTGGGGGGGAGCACGTGTTCCAGCACCGAAGTGTGTGTGTGTGTGTGTCTGCAGCGTTAGGACACCTGCATGCTTCAGCACTTTCTGCCTGTCAGGAGCTCTGAGGTCGCAGGCGCGAGTGTGGAGAGGGCACATTAGAAGAAGCTCTGAAGCCCCCAACCACCCACCCACCCGCCATTGCACCCACCCACCCATGCCTCCGACATCCTCCCCCACCTCCCAACAACCCCCACTTTTTATTTCTCCCCCCACCTTTACCTGTTATACCCCCGTTATCATCCCTCCACCTCCGGTTCTCTTCCTCTCACTCGTCTTCCCCTCGCAGTGACGGGGTGAGTCGGGCGCTCGCGGGGAGGGGGTGCAGGGAGGCAAGGTGCCTTAGTGGCTGACAGCAGGCAGGTCAGGTTTGTGTAGACGCAGGAGAGGGGGGAAGGACACACACGCACACTCACATATGCATCATGGTGTGTGAATCTGTAAGAGAAAGAAAGAGGAGTGCATTAATTGGACGTCTGCGATCAGGAATCGGGCGTTGATGCAAAATCGTCGTCATATGCGGCGAGGTATTGAGTGAAATATAAATTTAGTAGTAGTAAGTAATAGTAGTAATAGTCGTTTATTCAGTCATGACAACACAAAAAATCGGACACAATATTGACAAAATCACTAAATCAAGAATCATGTGTTGAATATCGACTGAAAAGGCAGAAGCAGACTTCTTATAAAAGCCTCTCCTGTGTTGTCAACTTTTTAGGCTACCGACCTCCAGAAAAGCAAAGAAACCACGACAACAGATAATTAACTGTCACTTATAAGCTTTAAAAATAGCTCTTCAAACCATTTTCTTAAAAACCAGAAAAGAATGACATGTTTTTAGATTTAAAACGTGTCATTCAAGAAAAACTCAATATTGAAGTTTATCATGTTTTTTAAGGCTTGTTAATGTGCGGCCAATTGGACACTGAAAATCTGTAATATTGCAGGAAATGACACCCAACGTTGACGCAAAATCCTCCAATCTATTTTCAAATATGAAATATGAAGATGTTTCCCCCACACTTTATTTGAGACTGCAGCCACGTTGGGGTCTCCTGCAGGATTTTCTGCTCCCACATTTTGACACACTTCACTTTCCATTTACTGCCTGCAGGTTTTATATAGAACTAACAGCTGCTCCACCTAAGACTGATTACATACGTACAGTCCTCAAAGTGACACAGACATCATCCCTCCATCCAGAAAACCTAAATGACAGGAAGGATTTAAGCAGGATGTATGCTTGTCGTTAGATCTGGTCTATAAAGAGGAAAAGCAGGAAGAGTTGGGTGTAGATTATAGACGCACACAAAAAGAAAAAAGAAAAAAGATTTCTTCTTTCTCTCTGCAGTTTTAAAAATACACAAAGTGATGGCGGTGTTTAGATTTGGCTTGTTTTTGAAAATGTGTTGTGTGCTTTCGCTTTGTTCTAAACCGCAGAGAAGATGATACTTGAGGAGAAATCTGCGCCCGCGAGCCACACCGCGTAACATCAACCTGCTCCTCTTTTCAACTTATGTTAATAATTTTTCCGTCCCGTGTTTCACTTGTTTAAAGCTGGTTTATGTTGTTTTATTCAAACATAATTAGTTGTAAAGCTGTCACCCTCTTATGTGTGTGTGTGTGTGTGTGAGCCTCAGAGCTAGTGTTTTCCTCAGGTTGTAGTTGTGTGTGACTGAAAGAGGAACTTGTGATGAGCCCGGGGTTACTTTGATATAATGTATTCCCCTGAATCTCCGCAGCCAGCAGCCCAGGGCCTTCCTCCTGCCTGCAGCCTCCTTCTCCCTCTCCTCACACACAAACACACACACACACACACAAACACACACACACTTCTCTTCCTCACTTCTTCTTCCCCCCCTGCACCACTCCTCCCCTCTACTTTCCCTACGGTGACCGCCCGGTGCTAGCTGCTTTGCGTTGCACCCAGTGTCTAATTGAATTCCAACACTGGGGCGTTAGCTCCTAATGCTATAGAGATGTTAACACGGCACAATGCTAACAGTCCTCGGGACGTGTTTCAACACCATGCTCCTAAAGAGAAAATTAGCGCTAAGCTCACTGTGGCAGCACATGATTTATTCAAAGCGCCAAACTGTGTCTTCTGTATCCCCTAAAGGACCGTCTTTTGTAGCCACCAGCACAATCAGCACTTCATATCCACACATGCAGCACATGCAGAATAAGTATTGTGTTTCTTCTAACTTCTTACATTGTCTCACATATGAGTATGTCCGCTGATGCCTCTGCATCCATATATCGAACCAAGCCGTCCATCCCCTCTCCCTGACACCCTCACTTTTATCCCCCGCCTCTCACACACAAGCTCTGGGCTTTTAATGGCACATATTTCCCCAGCCCCGGCTGAAACTGGATGCATCTTCTCCTTGTTAGCTTGATAAATAACCAGGCTGCTGGGAAAGTGCTGAATTTTAGCTTTCAGCCACTATTTTCTGCTGGATGACATTAATTTTAAGTGCTGAGAAGGAGCTAACTAATACAGACAAATAAATAAGGAGGAGGACGGGAAGGTGCAGAGGTGCCGGAGTCACTTTGCTGTCCCTCCCCCCTCTGTTACCTCTTTATACACAAGCGTTCAGATGTGCAATATGCAAAGCTGCAGAAATAAACTACGCACAAGAGCGCAGACAGACAGACACACGCTTCGTTTCCCAATAGATGCTCCAAAACTGTGCACTCATCCCGTCTCATTATTGGAAGTGAACACGCAGAGGTCAAATGCTGACCATGTTGCAGGTAGACAGTCAGTCAGTCAGGCTCCACGCTTCTCTATCAGCTGTCTGCTTAAACCGCTCATTCTGTCTCTCTGAGTTAGTCTTCATCAGAAAAAGAGATTAGTGCAGCAGTAATGAAGTGGCAGATCAAAGTGCGCAACATTATGGATAAATTGTATTTATGTAATTGTGAGAGTTGCATTGTGAAGAAAAGTTAATTATTGTTCCGGAAAATATAAGAGAAGTTAATTGTCTGACTGAAACACTCGGCGTAAATAAAGGTTCAATTCTATTATTTTTGCATTTCTGTTTGTGAATGCTGCATTAGTGTATAAGTGCTGTAATTACTTATGTGAGTGCAGCGACAGCCTGAAAACAGATTAATCTCCATCATGTTATTCACTAGAGTTTAGTAATATGTTTTCTTCTCGCAGTCAAAATTCGAATGCAAGCTTCTTCGGCTGCATTTGTGTGATTTCACTTTGTACGAATTTGAAGAATAGGAGCTGCAAGAAAAAGAGAAGCGGTTCGAGAAAAAAACTTCTATGGAGGGTTAAAGTTGAGTCTTCAGATTAAACAATTATTGTTACATTTAACTTTTTGTGTGTCCCGTTCTTGCCCCTATAAAGTCCCTTTTCTTTTTCAGTGCTACAATTTTTGAGCCAAATAAACACAACATTTAATGGTAGCCTGAAATATCAGAAAAACACTAAAAGCACATGTGCAAAAAGAATGATTTTCCTGGTAATCTGTGAGTTTCCATGTTGACAGCTCACATCCTCTTAACAGTCACCGCGTGTATAATTATAATAAAACGCACATCTATAAGATACATTACTCTACACGCACATATGCAGACACACCATACTGAAAGCTTTTCATAATGACCTTCGTTTGATCCTTCAGCATTAAGCTTGCATTTCCACCCGTGCATTCACATTCAGTGGTTTATGCACAAAAACCTGAGCAACACACACACACTCACACTCACACGCATAAACAGTGCTGCATACACACGTGTACACCTCTGTTGTACATAACACATCACAATGAAGTGGCTGTGGCTGAGACACCTCATACATTACTTTAACAATGTGGTGAATAAAAAGGTCAGTGGTTGGGAAGCGGCTCCATGTAACAATAAGATGCATGAACTGAGCTCTGCAGGCACTTCACTCAGAGACCTGCTGCTGCTGCTGCTGCTGCTGCTGAACACGTGTGAGCCAGGGACCCAGAGGTCCTATGTAAGGATGGGAGTGTGTGGATGTGAGTGTGTTTGTTCACCGTTTAAAGAACACCGCAGAGAAACACATCATAATAATAGATTTACTCAGTCTATCAATATTGATCACCTTTTTTTCCTTTGCTAAACTTATGAGCTGAGATTTTCTTTTCAAAATGACTCTTTCATCGTCAGACTGATTCTGTTTTTTTCTTTTTTTTTTGTTCATATCAAAGCACACCTCGCTCGCTCTGCAGATGCAAGCAATACGTGTCCCTGTTTGCAAAGCAGGCTTTAATTTTCAGGGGGTATTTATCACACGCTGTCATGCTGTGGTCACATGACCACATGAACCACTGCCAACAATTAAGGCTGATAAATCAGTCATTTACAGGAAGAGGAGCAGGAGGGACGGAGTGGGGGGAAAGCGGAAACGAGGGAGTGACAGGAGAAAAGGGGGGTGGATAATGGACAGCCTGTACCTCTTTACAGAAATCTTATACCTTTGTTTTTTAAAACTGAATGTTGAACGGTGTTTGTGTTTGAGCAGTGAAGTATGAACTGGAGCTTGTTGACTCCTACAGGCAGCAACACAGAGACAGATGGTCGTCGTTCGTGTGTTTTACTGTGATTGTGACCTGGCTGCACCACTTTATTTACAAGTGGAGGTGTGTGAGTTTGTGTGCATTTGTGTCATGACTGAGAAGAGATGCAGAGACCATGCACTCACTTAAGTCTTTCTCCTTCTCTTAGCGTCTAAATGGAGAAAGCACACTGACTGTTCTATGTGTAGATATTAAGGGAGAGAACAAACTCGAGGCCCGCTCCGTCTTGTCTTTTGGACCTGGCAGCAGACACTCAACTGTCAGATTTAGATGCTGATCAGACACGAGTCTCAGAGAGGTCTAATCTGAGCCGCTTCTGTATAAGTTACATCAGAATGTGTGTTTCACTTTCAGCAGTCCCGGTCAGCGCTCTGCAGAGTCTCAGCCTGCCCACTCACTTGAAAAGGCTCATTAAGGATTCATGATAAAAAAAAAAAAGATGAAAAAAGTGATCTAATGGGCTGGAAGAAGACGAGGAAAAGAGGAGGAGGAGGAGGAGGAAAGGAGACAAGCTGCGGTTCATGATCCGACAGATTGAACCCTCACTCACTGAAGAGAGCGGTCACTAACTGACCGAAGCTGCGTGAAATATGAGACGGCTGAGTCAGTCAGGTTACCACTGCAGCTGTCTTTATTTGTATTTAGAGTTTCTACATCGAATCAAACACAAGGAGAGGTTATGTTCAGGTGTACTAATGCTGTTGGGGCAGGGGTGTGTCTGAGAGTCAGTGAAGCAGCTTTTCTTGGAAGAGAAACACTTTTGTGAACGAGAATAAGAAGTCAACACTTTGAGTTTGTGTGCCAGGACCGATGTCGAGGAGACTAATTTATCCAGAGAGGATAAATGTGTGGGAATTTTCCTCGGATGTTTACCGACTCTTACAGCGGTGATGTCAGCTTTTTTATTTCCCGTAAAGACCGCATCAATTCTGAATGAATTTTCATTCCTCTTTATGTCCCGTATTTTTGATGATCAGCCAATAAAAGCTCGATTTCTATTCAGGATTGATTTTTTATTATTGATTAACACGCTTTGGTGGGAGTAGAGTGCCAGAGAGTCTGTAGTGGGAATTATTTTAAATTCACTCTCTTAAGAAGTTACCCCTTCAAATTTGTGATCTTTTTGAAGGTTTGTGTGCAGACACGTGACGTCAGAGGGATACTACACTGCCCTCATACCTCTCTCTCTCTCTCTCTCTCTCTTTCTTCTCTCTCTCTCTCTTCGGGGGCAGAAAGGAAAGGGGAGCAAAAAAAGAGGGTCAAACTGGGGTAGCTGTGCAAACAACGAGATCATCACCAGGCTTTGTCAATAATTAAATGAATAACAAACATATTCAAACAGGCTGGATTTAACAGATTTAATCATGATAACTCGATGTCTGCCAGTGACTTAATGCCATTACTTGGTTTTTGCTTTGCTGGATTCTCAAAAGGCTTTGCTGTAAGTAAGCAAAAACTGTTCGTTACCGAGATAATAGAAATTTCAGAATTAAATTAGAGGTATTCAGCTTTATTTTGGCGGTGCTGATAGCTGCATGGTAGCGCTCTGTACAGTAAATTCAATGTGTCTTTATCCGGAGCGAAATAAAAAAGTGGAACGTTATTAACGTCAGACCACCTGCAGGGAACATCTGCAAGCTTCGACTGCAGACCCAACATACATCACTGTTTCTCCTCTCACCATTTACACACACACACACAAACACACACGGGCACGCACACACATCTATCTTTTGCATGTCTCTTGTCTTATTGACATGAGCGCAGCGGTGCATTCCTGCAGCGACTCGAGCTGGTTATTAAAGATGCCACAAGGTCACAGGCCAAGTACAGGCCTGCTCTTTTGGCCGACCGGAGGTCAAAGGTCAGCAGGTTAGTGTCAGAGGCCAGGATGCTCACAGTGCAGCTCACCAGTGATCCTCTGGTAATTTAAAATCAAAGCTTCCTTTTGTGTGTTTTTCTGCTGAGCTGAGCATGAAACCCTTTTATTTGTTTATCTTATTTTCACTCCTACAGTAACTACTCTCCTTTGAATAATTAGATGTTCTTTTCATGTTCTATTAGCACTCTTTTTCCTCATGTCTCTGCTCACAACACTCTTTTTTCATCTTCAAAGTGAACGCTAAAATAGGGCGATCATTGCAATTTAATTACTACAAATCCCTTTGTGAATTTGCTCTTGTGTTTGTTTACACGCACAGATTTGCCAGCTCCTGCACTTTTCTGTGTTTGTCAGTGAATGTGTTTATTTTCTGGTGTCTCTGCGTGAGCAGTCTTATTTATAGTGTTCAAGTGTGCATGTGAATGTGCGTGTGTGTGTATGTGTGTTTGCGTGTGTATGTGTTATAGTGAAGCTGCACTTGGGTTTATTTAAATAGATAAGATAGTGTTTTATTCCCAATCAGAGGAATCTCCTGTCGCATCTCAGTCTCTTCATAATAACCCCCAGCATTGCTCCACACTCCCTCAACACACACTCACACACACACACACACACACTGAGTATTGCCGACACTGCAATTTTTCTTCTCCCAGAGGTGTTAGGCTTTGATAAATGAAAATAAATATTTTTTTTCATACAAGGAACAGAAGTGGAAAGAAGAAAATGGCAGAAGTGACAGGAGGTCTATAGCACTTTGATGCTTCAATACAAGCAAATATATGACTCAGAAACAGCTTTTATTAGTGTGTGTGTGTGTGTGTGTGTGTGTGTGTGTGTGTGTGTGTGTGTGTGTGTGTGTGTGTGTGTGTGTGTGTGTGTGTGTGTGTGTGTGTGTGTGTGTGTGTGTGTGAGGTTCTTCCTCTGTCATTGTTGGGAGTAGGAGAGAGTTTGGCGTGTTTACTGAGCAACAGTGGAAGGGGAAAAAAAAAATAAAACAGCACATCACATGATTTAACTGACCGTTGTCCTCCTCCCTCACCTGTCCGTTTCTATGACTACAGGGTCACGTAAACGCCCTCCCCCCCTTCCCCACTCTTTCTCTCCATCTCCACCTTTGTTTCTCTCCTGCTCCACCGGACCTCATTTCATTCAGCACTCCCGAACCTCCGACAGCTCCATAACTATAACTCTCTGCTGGCTGTCCTCCCCTCCTCTCTTCTCTTCATCCACAGCTAAATGACTCTGTCAGAAATAAAGAGCACTTATCTTATCTACTGCCTCCACTCTGCTTTCCCTTTCCCCGCCAACGTCACGCGCACAAACACACGCACACAGAGACAGACAGAAAAAACAACACACTCTTGAATTTCTGCAGTCGTACTCGCTCTCCTTAAACATTTTTATTCTCCTTTTTTTATACCTGTGTGTTAATTATTCTCTCAAAGGTAGAGGATTCAGTCTTCTTCTTCTTCTTCTGCAAGATTTCCGCTTCCTGTTCTGACTCAAAGTCTTTAGAAGGAAAGACAACAACCTGCACTGTAGAGAACCGACAGGTAGATGGAGGCTTGACAGAGGACAGCTGTCCACTTATTCTGTTCTGCTGCACGCACACACACACACACTCACACACACTTGCCTTCCTCTTCCTCCTCTTCTCCTGTCATCCCCTCTCTCTCCTCCCTGTGGCGTGAAGGAGAGAGAGGAAAAGAGAAGAGCAGGATCTACAGCTATCGGCAGCTAGCTGAGCTGAGGACTTACTGTGTGTGTTTCTTTGAGCGCGTTATAGTGTGTTTGTGTGTACAAGCCACCTACCAGGCGCCCAGCGGGGGGCACGGAGGGATGAGAGGAGAGAAGGGAGGACGAGGGAGGAGGGGGAGAGTGTGTGTGATTGGTATAAAACTCCTCACAAGAACAACACACAGACCGGCAATTCAGAAGGTGTTCACCCTGAATACTCCATCACCTGTAGTGACGTTATGGAGCGCAAAACTGACGCACATTCTGTCTCTCCTTCACACACATGTTCCTGCATTTACATGACTAGAAATTACATTTATTAAAAGTCATCCTGAGTGAATGAGCTTGTCGTTGTGTGAGGGGTTGTCCTTTGTTCGCCGCTCTGGAGTCCTGCGTGGAGGAAGAGGAGAAACAGAGGCAGCCCGCTCGCTCGCTCGGCTCAGAGCAGAGAGTGGATGTGTGTGTGTGTATGCGAGTGGATGCGTAAGAGACGCGGAGATGAAAAGAGTGATAATTCTCCTGCTACCCTGAGGCCTCTCGCTGCCTTGCGGACTCGCTATAGGTCCCCTGATACATGCCTGAACAGAAAGCCAGGGCCCACTAATTGGCCCCTATGATAACACCAGCGAGAAAGACCGTGTGTGTGTGTGTGTGTGTGTGTGTGTGTGTGTGTTTGTGTTTCTGCAGAAAGCTTATATTTTCCACGAGTAATAATTTATTGGTTTGTAATTCTGCTTTGAAGGCTGTTTGACTTGTACGCTGTGAAGACATTTGTTATGATCTGCAAACTCATTGAAGTCGGAAGCCACTGAAAGACAATTAAAGCGTATACGCCAGTTCAAAGCGCAGCCTCCATCTTTAAACAGCTTGTTTCTCTCTAATTGTTTCATTATCTCAGTGTGCTTATTAAATGTGCGATAATTGTTAATTACCACATGAGGATTTGTAAAGGATTTGTCTTGAGTATCAAAACAAATTAATTAAACTGAACACATTTAAAACAACACTAATGATAACAGCAGGTGGAGTGTGTGCGAGTGTGTGTTTGAGTACACGTCCGCATTTCTACTTCTCTGGCTGTTTGTTTGAATCTTTATCTTTAATTGAGATTCATAGGAGGAATTTAAATGAGATTCAAATGAGATTCAGAGCTAATTGTAGCAGCACAGGTAATATGCAGATAGATTTAACGATGATTCAGTGTATCTCGCATTGTAACGAGACTTTGATTGGACCATTGGAAGACACGAGCGGGATCGTTACTGCGTGCTGGAGAGAAAGTGGGAAAGAAAGGAAGCGTTGTTCATGAGTATTTCAATGTAGATTCAGAAGAGAAGCTCCTCATTTCAAGTTACTGAAAATTCAAAATAGAGAGTAAGTCCTTTTTCTGAATAAACTTCAAGATCATTTAGAAATCTCCAGTTTGGTTGCAGTGTGAGAAAAGGTTAAAAAAAAAAGCGACTCCCTTCAAAATGAGGCTACCGTACTGTACATGGGACTCCATACACCCACCAGTTTACTCTGTATAAAATCCAGCTGCTCCCAACAGCTGGGACATTATAAGTAAATAAAACACAGCTCCTGAGCTTGCACATACACGCACGCACACACACGTCAACACTTGTTCTTCTGTTGTCTTCCACACAAGAGCGGCGAGTAGTTTCCTTCCTTGTCTACTGCTGTACATACGCCATGACAGATGTGCACTGCTGAACACTGTATATTCATCCATAATACATTCACTATGATTTAATTAATGGGTAAGGCGTTATGCCACTAATCAGTATGTGTGGGCATGTTTAGGTATTTGTGTTTCTTTGGGGGTAAAAGGGGGTGAGGGGCATTTGGATTTTTATATCCGTCTTCTCTCTTTTATATCCATGATTTGTCTTTTAAGCTGCGATGTGAACTGTTTGGAGAACTTTTGAGGTAGATATTTTTCACTTTCCTCACTAAATTCAAATCTACATTATAAAACACAAGTGTGCAGATGGGCACACACACACACTTCTATATACAATACAAACAGAGCAAATACACACTCATCTATGATGCTCACACACTCATTAAAGGATTCTCACACACCAGGTAGCTTGAGCAAACTGAAAACAAAGGCATGCTGATGAGCCGAACAATGAGACTAATATTCTTGGGAACTGGTTAAAGCCCAGCAGTAGGCAAGAGGCTCTCTCTACTGTACGACTGCAGTATTGATAGATGCTGCAGAGCCCGAGTCCACAGTCCCACTTTATTTCAATTAGCTCACAGGAAGCAGGAAATAACCTGCAAATCAATTGTCATTTCTACGGGGCCGAGGCTGCAGGCTGAGATTCACTTTGTCCCCCAATAAAAGACGATGTAAGCCATGAAGAAGATTAAAGGGAAATATCCTCCACACATACTCCCTGGCTGTTGTACAGTTTATCATTACTGTGTGATGCTCGATGCCTTTAAGGCTGTTATGGTTATTTATTGAAATATGTTGCTGTGGTGCACACACAGTCTTGTCAAAAGCTGCAGATATTCACAGTATATCCCAGAGTCCTAATTTGATCATCCAGTCATCATAACACGCTGCATTATGAGTTTTTGTTATGGTGGTGTACTCTGGTCTAATAAGGGTAACAGACTTTGTCTGAACAGCTCTATATGCAGAGGTGTGTCCAGATTTTTGACTTGGGGCGGCCCAGCTGGGGCACTGACTCATGCAGTCCTGACATTGGGCATTTTTGAGCAAACTCTACAAACCATTAGCAGCATGTTAAAACAACACAGTGCAGATAGTTCATTTGAACACAAGCCTCCATTCTGACACATCTTGTCTGGGATTTTGGGTGACCCCATGAGTGTCTTATCAGTTTCTAAGGCTAGTCTAACTGTCTCCACACACCGAGCACGAGTAAAATCATTCGCGCGAATGAATTACATGTTAAGTCAATGCAAAGACACGAACAGACACTCCTACTACTCTGGCGGCGCAAATGCGGCGAATTGGGCGGGAGCTTAAAATGTCTTAACTTGAGCGAATATTCACGGCGCAATAACTAATCAGCACGAAAGCTGCTGGGTGATGTATGAAAACGGACGGTTGTTCACTGGTATCCGTAGTGGAGGAAAAACAGGTGCCCCAAATTATATGATACCTTTCCTTTCATTTACCGAAACCAGAATAAAAATTTACCTGGTAAATTGTAAAAGACCTTTGTCTATCACTTGATCCCGCTGGTTGAATTGGCAGGGATTACCGTTGAAATTACCATTGACGTGCAAATGAAGCAAGTAAATATTATTCATTCACATGTTTAGATTCACGTGAATTAAACGGGTAGATGATCTTACTCGCGCTTAAGTCTATCTGGCCACCCTGAATCCACCCCTGATTTTACGAAGTGTGAAACATGTCAGTTACACCAAAACCTGCATGGAAAATGTGTCTGTGGCGCACGTGAAAACATTTCTAGCTAGTAGGTGTGCGTGCTTTACAAGGGTATTTTCAGGCTAGGTGAACAGACGGGATAAATACACAGCAGAAATGAACCTATTGACTCTGCTCGAGTGTTTTTAAAGAAGACCTCCTGTTTCGATTCAGTGCTTCTTCATGACGGAGTACAGCCTGCATTAAATCATCCTCTGTATCACACCTTGAAAATAAATGTGTTGAATGCTGATGTTCCCTTTTAATGACCACACATAGTGACAGAAACCAGAAGTGCGGGAAGCCATGTTAGCGCCATGAAACCCACTGAGAGGCTTTTAGTACAGGGGGGGTTAAGAAAGAGAGGTCAATATGGATTGCAACCAAGCAAGATATGGAAGCTTATATGTTGTATGATCATATCAGAAAACACAGTCATGTATGAACCCCACTTTACGGCACATCTCACACACAAACACACACTCAGGTGGAAAAAAAAAAAAAAGGCAGTGCAGTGTGATTTGTTTGTGTTGTTGGTGCAGTGGACTGAAGCGATGGAGGTAGTAACTGTTTGATGGTAGGCTTTATGGAGACACTATATAACGCCTGTGACAGTTTATTCAGTACATGTCAGGAAGGGGGGATTTGTGACACTACAATGGCTGAGACACTCCTGCAGCCTCATGCACTTATGCACCCACTATTCACAGCTCCAGAGGGAAAGATGAGTGAGGGAGACGTGGATCTGTTTGCATGTTAAACGTCACCGATCAGAGTGCAAAAATAACACCCAAACAGAGCTGTAACTTGAGAAAACAAAAAGTACTAAAATCAGAAACTGGGGGAATTTTCAGAAAATAAAACCTTTTTTAATTTTAGAGGCTAATTAAAATGTAAGATCACACTCGTGCATCGACTCGCTCTAGCAGACACAAAAGTCTACAACACTTTAATGAGAGATTTTCCCTATGCTTCACTTCTACACTGACAGCCAATCGGACGCCAAACTGAGATCGTTAGACGGCACATTTTCTTTACAGCGAAGGAAATTCTGCCTCTGTTTCGCACTAACTTTTTGTCCCGCTAGTTATTCCCCAAGGTCCATTAGCTGAGCTCTCATTGGTTCTCCTCTGGGCTGGATGCTATTAGCCCTGTGATTGGGTATTGAATTAGCCTGCTGATTGGGTATTGAAGGAGTGAAGACTGATGAGAGGATTTGGCGAAGCTTTCTTCTCCAAACCTCATTACTCACTTTCATACTCAAAGAGAGTAGAGCTGGGAGACACACACAGTGACTCACACTAACACACACACACATGTACACGGGGACATTTGTGTCGTACCTGAACTCACACAAAGATTTCTAGAGTTGATTTGACTACTTAAACACCCTCCTGATTCACATCCCTGCAGGTACAGAACAGTCTCTTCTCTCACAGTTCAGCTTTAACACCCTCCACAGTTAAAACCTGCTAATATAAAAAAAAACATATTTTATATCTTTTATGAGCGCAGACTGAGCATACTGGGAGAAAACAGGACAAAAATTCCCATTGGGATCACCTGTGATAAAACATAGCATATGATAGCGTATGGTATTGTGTGCTATCGTATGGTATCCTTTCCTGCCATATCATCTATTATCCTATTCTATCCTACTGTACCCATTCTGTCATACGTATCTGTCGTATTGTACTCTATCCCATCCTTTCCTATCATATCGTATTGAATCGAATTGTATTGTACTCAACAGTAACATAACATACTGTAGGGAAGAATATTTTTTGGTGTCATATCACATCCGATTATACTCCAGCACTGAAACCTTATGGATTATAAGGCTTTAGGTAGATTCTTACTTCACAGTTGTGTATTGTAACTTATTACAGTTCTGTTTCATACAAATTGTATTGTATCCATAAATGATACAATACAAATAAATCCATAAATTCAGAAATGTTTGAGCACAGGGGTGGGAATCACCAGTGTGATTACGATACGATATTATCACGATACTTGGGCCACGATACGATATTATTGTGATTTTTAACATTTTGCAATACAGTGAGTATTGCGATACAATATATTGCGATTTATAAAATATTTTCAACCGTTTAGCTAATTTATCATTTGTCTTTCCTTTATGTTTGTTTTATTTACACTGTATTTTATGTTCATGTAGTACATCTTGCAAACCTTATGTATATTTGTTGCACTAACTTCCTCCTGCTCTATGATGTCACCTCTGCCAACCTCACTGGACGAACAGTTGATTTTAGTTTTCTATTATCATATATTTGACTTCATGTTAGCAATTAATTTGAAAAAATTTATTCTTGGTAAATGAGACGATACGATATGTCACCAGACAAAATATCTCGATACTATGCTGTATCGATTTTTTCTCCCATCCTGACTTGAGCATAACAAAAACATCTAAAATGCATGTAGTACAATGTATGATCATATGCTGTAGAGGGAAGACTGTGATACGAACAGAAAAAAAGTATTTGTAAATCCCATCACACCTTTTTTTTTTTCTTTTTTTTATAATCAATATACAAGCTAGAGATAGAGAGATGGAGCAAACTGAAAACCACCAAACAAAATTATTTTGTGATACACTGCATGAAAAGGTGCTGCAGAGACTAAAGACACTGAAAGAAAAAGGTCTCTGCACTGAAAAGAAAGTGCTGTTGGCCCAGGAGAGTGCTGCATGCAATTGGAAGCCGCTAAAGAGAGGGATGTGTGAAGGGCTTTGAGCTGATTTATGCTGTGTTTCATCCCACAATAAAGATTATGGATGATGATATTGATTTAGCCGGGGCTGTGGCCATGACTGGACTCCGGCTCTCAGGTTGTTTGAAAAGAGAATTTAGCTCATTATCATTCTCAGACACAGTGTGGAAGCCTTTCTCTGAACATGTGTTTCGTGTGTGTGTGTGTGTGTGTGTGTGTGGTTGTCTTAGATCATCCTCTGAATTAGCAGCACATCTCTCTTCTCCTTTAGTGTTTGTGCGAGTGTTTGAGTGTTGAACCTTATCCTGTCCTCCTGTTTCACGAGCTACAGAGTGAACAGCAGGCGTTCCCAGCAGCACAGCAGAGCAGACCAGGAGGGAGGGATGAAGTTATTGACTCCACTTTGATTTAACCTCTCCTGCCTGATCCCCAAGAGCACACACATACATGCATGCATGCGGGGAGATTCTCAAAATAAGAGCTGCCATCACAGGGAAGTGGATGAAAAAGAAGGAACTCAGAGCATATTTGGGGCCTTTGACCTTGGGTATAGGGATTATTTCAGGATTGGTGTCTGCTCTCTATTTCCTTCTCAGCAATGAAACTGATTTTTAATGAGTGATTTACAGCCGACAGTAATTATAATCTAACATATTTTCCCTCTCTTAACCGACACTAAAGTTGTTCTTGTCCAAAGAGGGAGAAAACTTCTTTGTTATCGTGACTGATCGACCATGGCTCTTGTTTTTCCCTCTGTAAAGTACTCTGAATGGCTCTGTGTATGAATGGTGCTCTATAAGTTAACTTGTCTTGCCTTCCTTTGCCGAGATCCAAACAGGGGGGCTTGTTTATAGCGCTATGGAGAATGGACAAACAATATTTCTTTCACGACTTTTTATAGGCGGCCCATTTTAAGATAATTTCTGGGCTTTTTTTGACTTAATGTAATAGAAAAAGTTGAGAGTTATGCACTAAATGCTGCTGGATCAGGAATCGATCCAACTGCAAGTGTGACGTGGACTATAGTTCTGGATATGAGGAACCTGCTCCGTCACCTGAGCTTCACCAGGACCCCAGGACCATTTTCTTTTACACATTTTCGAATCATAGGTCATATTAGGGCTGGGCGATATGGCCTCAAATCAATATCATGATATATTGAGCAGTTCACCTCGATATTGATAAATGGGCCATAACTACTCCACAAGCTGGGGCGGCAGTAGCTCAGGAGGTAGAGCGGTCGTCCAATAACCGGAAGGTTGGCAGTTCGATTCCCCCCCTAATCCAAGTCTGTCCGTTGTGTCCTTGGGCAAGACACTTAACCCACCTTGCTCCCAGTGTGTGTCCTCCACTGGTGTATGATTGTGAGTGTTGTGTGGTGGTGGTCGGAGAGGCCGTAGGCGCAGAATGGCAGCCACGTTTCCACCACCATCAAAGTGTGACTGTGTGAGCGAATGAATGATGTATCCAATGTAAAGCGCTTTGAGGGTCTCTGATAAAGCGCTATATGAAATCTGATGCATTATTATTATTATTAAGCTGCTCACCCCCTCCCACATTAACTTCGTCTTCTTCAGCTGCCGTTCCAAATGCTCCAAATTTTGTCTTTCCCTCTTTGTTACGGACTGGATGTGGTGGAGTCTGAAGTAGGACGCGTCTTATAGGGACATGAGACCACAGCCTACCTACACACACCCAAAACCAACTTTTATTAATTTATTCTTTTGACACCGAATATATCGATATGGGTAAAATGACGTTGGTTATTGTCGTAAATTTTGGTATCGGTAAATTTTCAGTTCATCGCCCAGCCCTAGGTCATATTAAAGTTGTGAGAGTTACTCAGAAATAAAATTCAATATTAAGAATAACTTGTAAAAAAAACAAATTACAAAAATTTCCTTCAACTCTAACCACACTTTCCATTCCCAGTAGGGCTGGTTCACGTGTACATATTCACACCAACACTTCGCAGCTTTTTACATTAAAACATTTTGACAATAAACGAGACAAAATACCTCAACATTCAGCCAAGGCAAGCAACAGCGCTGAGGATGTTTACTGACTATAAACAGCACTTAGAAACAGTGAATTCCCACCTTTGGATCTGCAGGGTTTACACACTCACACTCCAAACAAAACACAGCATGCCCCCTAATTATGTCCAACTGAATTCTGGGAAGCCGCCTCGAGAGCATTGAGATGATTTTCCATTTGGTTAAAGGGAAACTTCTCGTTTTGAGCAGTTTTTGTAAACTCTCCATCAAATTCTGGCATCGTAACAAAGAAGCAGACCTTGAAGATTTAAAGCTTTAACACTCAAGTACAGGAGTTTTCTTTTACTTGTTCTGTTGTAGTGCACAGTATGTGCTCGTTTGACAGTAAGGAGACAGTGAACTTTCTCTGCATATTATGTTGGTTTAGCTAAACGCATCTATGTTCTGCTAATACACCCCCTTTTTTAGAGCTGAAACAACGGCTATTAATACGAGTGATATCACTGAATGCTGTGTTGCTGTGTTGCTGTTGGAGTTGTTGAACAGGACAATGGCGCCAAAGTGCACTTCTCTTTAATTAATTACCCGCTTTTGTTTCTGGAGGCGACACACACACACACACACACACATACACACACACACACACGCACACAGATAGATAGATAATTGCACACATGTACACACTCAAAAAGCCACTAGAGTTTGGTTTTTAGAGGAAAAAAAAAAGGAGGAAGCTAGGGAAAGAGGAAGAGGGTAATATCAGCAGGCTATCTATCCTCTCCTCCACTGGTGCATCCCAATCCTCTTTGGAAATAACAAATGCATAAAGGAACCACAACACAAATATATCTGCCTGGCTCAGATAGATAGGGCTATGCGAGAGTTTAATACCCTTATGTAAACCAGTAACAATCAAGCCCTAACACACACCCCCACATCACCACTAAGGGGACAATAAGGAACACGCTCTATTCTCTCTCTCTCTCTCTCTCTCTCTCCAGATATGAAGTGAGGAGCAATCGTATGAGTGTGTGTGTATGTGTGTGTGTTTGTGTGTGCAAGAAAGAGAGGGAGAGCAAGCTGTTTTCTTCTGCAGATAGCGAACAATGCAGTAGCACAGATTGGTCGGCTCCCTGGTGCTCGTTGTGTTGGTTGTTGTTCCAGAAACAGGGAGTGATATAGACCTTGACCTCAGAGACTACAGCACGTCTGATACTCCGTTTCACTCATCTTCACCATCCACTCTTTTGATATCTCACTCTGCATCCCTCTGCGCCAATTTTTTGTTATACTTTTGCCTCCTCTCTCATTCTCCCTCCGCTCTGTTTTTTTCCTCCTCTCGCTAAAAACTGACGATTCAGTAGACAAAGAGAGGAGCGACACTAAAAAAAAAACCCAGCTGCCCATTTGTCTTCAAAAATGTTGCCGCTGACAAGTAATCCAAAACCGGGGAAAACACTCCAGGACTGACACATTTATCAAATTAATTTGTGTAACATCTACGGCACATATGGCAGGTTTACTTACTTTGGGACACTCAGGAAAAGTTATCACTGCCTTATAATTTATCTTGGCTTCAAAAACTAAAATAAACCACAATTTTGCATCACTTCCAAACGGCTCACACACACATTTTGAACAGGAGGGGAGGAAAAACGACAGGGCTGTTTTTCTAAAGGTGGATCAATATAATTAGTATGCCATGCGTGTGTGTGTGTGTGCTTCTGTATGTGTGTGTTTTTATGAGGGGGTATAGACAGGAGTTAGGGTAGCAAAGGTTAATATCATACATCAGCTGCCATCTGCATACATCTCTGAAGGAGAAAAATCCTCTGTGTCTTTGCTCTCAGTAGGGTTGATCGCTGTACGATTATACACCTGCTGACATTTTACGCTTTCTAGATGGAGAAAATTATATCCATAAGAGCTCAATTAATAAGTTAATACAGTCTCTGTGGCAGTGCGAGTCCCTCCGCAGAAGTACACTGTGATATTTGAGGTATTAAAACCCCCATTTCTAATCGGCAGAGCTGAACACAACATACATTTCTCCTCTTTTCTTCTTCTTCTTCTTCTAACGTTACCAGCATCTCTGCGGGGTTTTCATTATCAAAGTCTTTACAAGTTACTGTGTGCGAGAGGAGCAGCAGTCGTCTCAAAGATGTAAAGAATCTGACTTTTCACTGCAAGCTCAGCGAGACATGATCAACATCAGTAAACCGAACGCTCACACAAAGTGAAACCCAATGCAGTGCAAAGGGAGACAGTCAGACAAAGTGTGTGTGCGGATATTTGAGTGTGCATTGCTGGCTTGTCCATACCTGACTGCGTGCATGCACCGCTGGTGTTTTTGTGTGTGTGTGTGTGTCTTTGTGTGTGATTGTGATGAAGTTCGCCTTGATCATCAAGCTTAATGCTGCTCTCTCTCTCTTTCTCTCTCGCTCTCTCAGCCATATAAGACCCTTCTAGGAAAGCATCAAATATTTATACAACATTATCCCTGATCCTATAGCCTGTAAGTAAAGAAAAACACTCTGCTGACTTTCATTGCATTACAGAGGTTCAGGATTCAGGCTCTGGTTTTGGTTTCGAGTTGTTGTTACAGATTCATCGCCTTTCATCCAGCAGCAGCCTTTTTGGGGAAGACTCAGCTGGTTGTGCCGACACCCCGCCGTGTAAATTGTAAAGCAAAGAAAATGCACCGTCACAAATGTTGTTTACGGCTCTCACCGCTGGGTTTGTGGCGGTTTTTTGATAGAGTGATTGAAGGGGGAGACGGTGGAAAAATAGAGAAAGAGAAGGCGTAGAGAGTATTAATTCTACATCCCAGACACTGAATGGCTGCTGTTGTTCTGAAGGCTGTTTTATGGAGCAGAAACAGCCTGATCTCTGTGTTGTTTTCTCCCTGATTGATTGCCCCGGCCCGAGGCTCCTTGGAGTGTGCTGCGTTTTGTCGGAGTATTTACTGGAATGTTGGGAGGATAAAAATCACAGCCTCAGTCATCGCATAACAGAGGCCTGGCAGCAAATACAAACTCAAAGAAAAGGCACGGGAAGCCCACACAGACAGGCAAATGGGGACACGGAGGGAGAGACACATGAGATCATATGGCATGAAGAAGCAGACGTACTGCACTATAAAGAGACTGCAGGCACACACAAATACACTTTAAATCTCGACAGTTGTTGCACATTTGGCTCTGCAACAACCAGAGTTTCCTGCATAGCTTAAGATTTAAGACAACTCTAAAAACATCAGTTATTTCTTGATCTTTAAAATAGGGCTGGGTGATAAAACGATAGCAATATATATCGAAAATTAATTTTCCTCAATATCAATCTAAATACTGTCAATATGCTTTTCGATAGTTGGCATTCTGCCATGTTTTGGTAGACTATGCGAATAGCCAATGAAAAGCAGAGTCGCTCCAGGTCTACTTCGTGCTGAACCAATCATGTGCTGAATTAGAACCAAGTAGCAAAGAACTGCGTAGTACACAGCTCCGCGCAACCATAGCACTTTAACACGTGAAGCCGACAGCACTGTTGGTGAGAAAAAAAGAAAATGAGTTTTACTCCCGGCAGAAGTGCAGATGAAGGCTGGACAGATGATGACACTGTGGACAACACTGGCACGAAAACGTCAATGGTGTGGAGGTATTTTGTTTTTTTGAGGTCGGACATAAAGCAGAGTAATGTGCACTGAAAATTATGTCGAGTACATCTTCTCGCAAAGTCGGGGAGTACCTCAAATCTTTTTCACCACCTGGAGCAGTGCCACGCAGCAGAGCACGCGCAATGCAAAAGGTTACAAACCCCGAGCAGAGCAAGGAGCCCATGGCGCCTGTGCGGCCAAAACAGCGGACCATTCAGTCCGCTCACTAGCGCAACGCCTTACAACACAATGTCAGAGAGACACAAAAACTTCAGAAATGCAGTAGCTTATTATATTGCAAAAGACATGCTACCAATAAGCACTGTTAAATTTCATTTTTATATCATGATATATATCGATATCGACTGATGTGAAAAAAATATATAGTTATAAACTTTTTCCCATATCGCCCAGCCCCACTGAAAAATTTCTAAGCACCTCGGTTTCATAATTCCTCCCAAGTGAATCTAGTTTTGACTTGTTGTAGCTGGAAAACACAGGTGCAGCTAATACCTTTAATGAGATTTCATTTCATACCAATATGAAGTAGCAATTAGCTGTGTTAGTGTTTACACCTGTGTTTGGCAGGCCGTCCAATCAAGCTCTATGTATCATTAATGAAGGATTTGAGTTTTCACATTAACGCCTCGATCAGAGAAAAATTTAAATATTCATCGCTTGACTCTTAAAGTTCCTATGAGGAGTTTTTTTAATGTTTATAAAATACACTGAATTTCCTTATGATGCCATTTCATGTTATCAAAATGCAAACACGACCATGAACTACAAAACCGATAATATGTATATCCTACTTTCCTATGCCTGAAACCGCTGTGATGGGGTAGGTGTCAGCCAAGCAGCAGAAGAAACAACCCTGTTTTTACAATATCCATATTAAATATTCACACTAAACCACACAGCTGACTGTCAGAACTTAGGAAGATAAGGTTTGTTGTCAATAGTCAATAGGTTAGCCAAGACTGCTCAGTCCACAGGGGGCGCCAGAGTTGACACAAGCTGAAAGTTTCTCACTGGAGCTTTAACAATAGTGTACAACTTTGACTGAAAATCTCAGTCAGAAAACCTGAGCTTTATAATCCTCTGTCTTCTTCACCCTGCAAGGGGAGCACTAAAAAATTTCAGCATGTTTGATGCAGCAAAAAAAAAAACAAAGAATCAGAGTCCATCTTTGTGACTCATTTCAGTAACAGAACTGTGTCCATTTTCAAGCTTTTAACTCATCATTTGGAGAGGGAAAAGATAGTACGTAGAGCTGGAAACTGGGAAAGAGAGTCAGGAGTGATACGAAGGAAAGAAACCACAGGCTGGAGCTGAACTTGGGCTGACTGTTTGTGGACTATAGCCTCTGTACATGAGGTAAGACTACAGACCAATCTGGTGCTCCATATATGAAGCTTTAAACGAGCAATGTAAGAGCCTTGGGCAGTTGCAGAAAATATTGTTAATACTAAGAACTTGATAACTTTGTGACAGTGGCAACTACACCGGAAATTATGGGCTTCTGATTGGTCAAAACCTTCAACAATGTAAGTAGTCCTCAAAAGCAAAAGCAACACTAGAGACCACCAGATCAGACCTCTGCAGCATTCGGGTCTTTCTCACCCTGTTGGGATTCTGACTTGCCTAAACTTTACCCCTCCTGTGACCGAGCAGATGTGTCTAAAAAGAAGATTTCTTTCGCTTTAAGTTAGGATCTTACAAACTTGCCGAGGTAGAGCTTGAGTTTAGGTGAATGCGCGCCTCCTCTCACTCCTCTCTGTTTGACAACACACTGTAACGGGATCATTTGCTGTGCTTTCCACCATCGATTTCACCGCACACCTCGGGCGCATTCATGTTTCAAAAGTAAGGAATCCGTTTGTTACAGACATACAGAAGTCTCTGGTGTCCCGCTCGGCAGTCAGGAATGAAAATCTAATTTACACAGCTTAACCTCCGATTTCTCAAAACAAGTACAAGCATATCGAGGTGGGTTTTCAGGTTTTTTTTTGGTTTTTTTTTCAGGTTTTTTAGGAATTGTGCTCGCTGTCAAATCAACGCTTCTATGCCGAACAGTTTTCTGTGTGCACCGAGGTGATGAAAGCAGGGGGTGGCCTGCTGGAGTCAGATATGCAGTCACACTGTGATATGCTGTGGACAGGACAGCCCTTGGCTCTGTCTGTCAGCATGTGAAGCCCCGTGTGTGTGCAGCCGTGTGGACCGAGCGGCTCAGGGTTCCCCTCAGCTGCAGGCCTGTCATGATGACAGAGAGACAGACTGACACGGTGAAGCTCTGAGAGGTCGCAGCCTTCAATCTGCTGCCTTTTTCTGTCCATCCATTCATGTTTCTCACTTTCTCTCATTCAGACTCTCGCTGTCGAACCCCTTTTCTCTAAGGGTGTCATGAAAACAAAATGAGGGTGTTTTAGAAAGTTTCCATCTGTAGAGAATAAATTAACATCTTTGTAAAGTTAGGACTATACTTTACAAATGAAGTAATACGATAGAGAAAGTACAAATCACATCAATTATTTCACCTGCCTTTGCAGCAATACACAGCTTGTGTGTGTGTGTTTGTGTGTGTGTGTGAATGTATTGTGTCTCTGATGTGCTGTAGGAGGGGAGGCTGATTGCGTAATCCTAAAAACCTCAAAACGGTGCTTGTCAGATGGCATTCTGCCCACTCTGCAGATTACTGCTCAGATTAAAACACAATGAACCCTGGGAGGGTGTGGGAGATAACAGCCCCAATTTGTGGGTTTCGGTGAGTGTGTGCCTCACTGATGCTTATATACTGTTGTCAATGCAAGTGCGTGCAGACTTTTTGTTACTGCATGTCCTGTGGTCATATGTTACATGCTCATTTTCCTGTAGTGTAAGGAAACACACACACACGCACACACACACACACACATCTCCTTTACTAGCCTGGGGGTCTTGCAGCCTCTTATGAGTCCTCGGTGGCAGAGGGAGGAGAGAACAAGAGGCTGACTACATTTAAGTGGCAGCAGACAGCAGAGACACAGAGATTTACGTCTCTTATTCCAGCACACAGAGGTTTAAAGGAGCTCAGGATGTGATTAAGAGAAACTACTTCTTTAATACTATAATGCTTGAATGTCTGCTGGCAAACGCAGCTGCTAAGAGTGTGTGTGTGTGTGTGTGTGTGTGTGTGTGGAAGCTCTTCCACAAAGAGGACTTACCAAATATAGGCAATACTGTAGGGAAGCTGCACACAGTTTAATAATGGTGAAATGTAGCTCTGTTCGTTTCTGTTTGATGAATGCCAAATACCTCATCGTCTGCCTCCTGTCTGCTCACTTTTCTCCACATCCTTATTCTGTCTGCAACCACGCCAAGTGTGTGTGTGTGTGTGTGTGTGTGTGTGTGTGTGTGTGTGTGTGTGTGTGTGTGTGTGTGTGTGCGTGTGTGTGTGTGTGCGTGTGTGTGTGTGCATTCTCATTCTGTCAGGTTTATTTCTGTTATGTTTCTTAATTAGCTAATAAAGGTCATGGCATCTCTCAGTCAGGGGGGGCCGGCGCATGCAAATGAACGAGAAGGTCAGATGGATTAGTGACCGCCTCACACCGCCCAAATATGGACACGACCGCGCTGTCATACAAATACCTGCAGAAATGAAACCATCACACCCACACACACACACACACACACACACACACACACACACACACACACACACACGAAACAGGAATATAAATCTGCCTTGTGAACTTGACAGTGTTTATAAGTGTTTATAGTGATCTTGTAGTGCCGTCTGCTGAGGTAAGAGAGCATGAGCTCTTTCTAGCAAATTCTCAAGATTTCTTTCTTCTTTTTTTTTGACTGGCCCTGTGAGTGAAATGTGAGCATTTTTGTCGGCAGGAAACAGAAGACTCGAAATGTGGTCTTTGCTTAACCTTAAAGAGCCGCGCCGTCATTTTTGCTGATGCAGACGCTGAGAAAAAGCCCCATGTGTCACTTTTGTGGGCTGTCCCAGGTTAGACAAATTTAACTGTAACACAAAGACAACATACCGAACTAGTAGGTTTTTGCTTTGAGTTGACAACTTTTAAATAAAGAATAGAAAATCTATAGATCCACTGACCAGCTGGTTACTCATGACTTGAATATCAATACACCGTTCTTGTTTCCTGTTTGAAAGCCTACTTCTTGACCTTAAAGCTGCAGTCAGGAACTTTCTGTTTTGGTGATTTAAGCGCCCTCTGTGTATGAAATTCACACGCATCACTCAGAGAATATTTACTTTGGTTTCAAATCACTCTAAATCATCTGGTTTGGCATCGTGTCAGCTGTCAGTTTTATATCACTTACATCACTTTTAATTTAAGTCTATCATAAGTAGCTGAAAACTCCTCAAGGGGCTCAAAGAATCACTTTCTCAATGATGAAATTTAATTTAGGGCGCTGACGAACAATGCTGTTTAGGCAGGTCAGAGATTGCTCCGTGGAGACATAAAGACGGCTGATCTCTGCACTAAGTTGTTTATTTTATAGGACTTGATGTTACTTAAAACAACAATCCTTGTTTTTTCCTCTCGTTTTATCCAGTTTCTTCCAAGGGCTGACGGCACAAAATATCATCTTATCCTGATGTACAAGGAAGAAAAAAAAGAGAAACACTCACCACCCTCATTAAATAGGGGGCTGTTTAGATTATGTGAAGCACTCCCAAGATGCTTTTCTGCACCAAACATGTGGCGTAGAAATGCTTGCGTAGATAAGATAAAGAGAAGGCACAGATGCTCTGGTGCTGACACAGATGATGCTGTGGTGCTGCAGTGGATCTGTTATTGTAGTCTTTAGGTCTAGCACCTCTCGCAGTTGAGCTTGTCTCCGTGTCCTTTAGCCCTAAATCACCCACCTGTCTCCATGTGTGAAAGCTCTCTCTCCCTCGCTGCCTCTATAACTCATTCTGACTGTCCCGCTTCCCTCTCTCTCTCTCCCTCTCTTTTTTCAGCATCTCACTCTCTCCACCTCTCCCATAACTCACCGGGTCTCTCTCTACGCTCTCCCCTCTCTTAGAGCCATTCATGATTATACCTTTGAAACACTTTCCTCCCCTCTCTCTCTCTCTCTTTTCCCTCTCCGCCTCTCTCCTCCTGTCTACGACTCTCAATCCTTCTCTAAACAATGTTCAAATCCACTTTTGACACAGCATCAAAGCTCTTGGTCACAGCGCTTCTCCCCTTTTCTTGTTGTGCATCTCTTCCAAATCCCACCATTCATCTCTTTCTCTCGGGTGGGAGGTTGTCTGGCCGCCTGCCTGACTTACAGCAGGCAGAGTGATGGACACAGGGTGAGACCCAGTGCATTACACTCCTCTGCAACACAGCACAACAGAGAAGGGACACTTCTTTATAACACTGCTCTGAATACATAAAGATGCAGCGAGAAAGATGATAGACAAACTAGAGCTGGAGTGGAGTGGGAATGATAAACAGGGCTTCGCTCTGGGGGAGCATCTCCAGTCTTTGAGCTCATTATGTTCATGAGGAGGAGATAAAAACACAGGCACATATCAGCCTGAGTGGAACCTCAAAAAACAGAGATGTGAATTTAAGCCAAACTTTCTCGCGCACATTGAAATAAATGGTAGTGAGCTCACCTACTATCTGGAGTCGCAGGCTGTTTGGCCCGCAGCATTAAAAGTGCAGCTAAGAACAAGTCAGACTCTGTCAGTGGCATATCTTCAGCTCTGCAGACCTTCATACTAGAAGATAGAGAGAATGAAACTGTCTTTGTTTAGCTCCTCCACCTCCTCCTCCTCCTCCTCCTCCCACTCTTTTTTCACTCTGAAACCCACAATCTAGATGCTGTCTTCAACACACCCTGCAAGCCTGAGATGCCCTAAACTGAAAAGAAAAACTTCTCTGGAGCACATACACAGAATAAAATATACAAACACTCCTCCAGGGGTGTGCTTTACAGACAATGGAAAGTGCATTGAACCTTTCTCTCAATTCAGAAGTCCAGTGTTTTTCCTCTCTTCTAGACATTAGATTTGCCTAAAAATTTTAAAGACTCATATAATTTTCACCCACTTATCTTGATGTACGCGAGTTATTCCGCAGCCCTGACCCCCTCTGCCTTAAACAAAGAGTCAACCCTTCCCTAAAGCCCCCTCTGACTTTGTCTCCCCTCTCATCTTCTTCTCTCAAGATTTTCAAAATCCTGTCATCTGAACGTCTCAGCAGGTCCCTGAGGACGGAAGATTTAACGCCATCTTCAGAGGGACTTGAAAAAGGTCCGATCCATAATCACGAGAGTGCCTGCGCCCTCGGCAGAATTACAATAACATTCAACATTGAAATGACTGAGCTGGATATGTGTATCTGCTGTATATCACTGCCAGTCATGAGTCATACTGCAGGACGAGCCGAGCTGTGCGCTCAGTTTTACTTTCATGCTATTATCCTGCAGATTAAGTGCTAGGGTGACCATTGTATTACTGCTGAGCATGTTAGCTACTTGTTCCCCACGCGGATACAATGGAATATAATTAGTCGATAGCTGTTACGCACTTGGGTGTCAGTTAGCCACTAATAAATGCTAACAACAAAGAGCGAGGCCGTATGTCATTTGCTGCATTAGCTACTGTGCGGTTTTGTCGGGCAGACTGCGTGTGAGAACATTACATTACATACATTAGCAGTGCTTCCATTCTGTATCAGGCCTCTGATTACAATAAATGCTCCATCGCATTGTAAGCATGGCCTTTACAATAATGGGCCATAAATTAATACAGTGCTCAGCAGCAAATACTATTATGCCATCAGTGTTTACAGTACAGACATGTATATATGGCTGGATTGGTGGATAATTACCATTCAGTCCAAGTCTACAGCCACTTACTGTCCATTCGTCACCATGCTAAAGGAGGGCTTAGCATTCTGATCAAGAGTATCAATGCCCCAAATACGCACTGATTCCAACCGAGATCAATAAGTGCATCATTAGCTGGGTCCTATCACTATTAAAATACAGCAGCAGCAGCAGCAGGAGGAGGCTGGATGGCTTTCCTTTAATCTTACAGAAAAGACGAGCAGGTGTGAAAAGCTTATTAAGGTATAATTCACTGCTCTGTCTGTGTCGTTTGGGCTTTGCGTTATCACCGAGATCATCCGCACACACATGAATGAGCGGCAAGAAAGCATGTATGTGCGTCTATGTGAGAGGGCTGCATGTGTGTGTGTTGAGGGTGGGGGTGCTTCCATATGAAATGTACACGAGGCTGAATCTCAGTGGTGTTAATGGCTTTTTAAATGTCAGGGAAAGTCAGGGAATGATAAAAGAGAGATCTGTTATCCACTGTCCTCATGATCACCGACGAGCACGCCACCACCGCTTCTGCTGCTCTCACCTCACCCAGGAGCCTTAGCCTCTGTGTGTGTGTATGTGTATGTGTGTGTGTGTGTATGTAGGAGTAGGCCAACTTCCACCCGCGCTGATGTCAGCATGATTTATGCACCAATCAGATTAGCTCTGAGAGAGAGAATGAGAGAAAGAGAGCGGGGAGGGGGCGTCAGACATTACTGGCTGCTTTATTGTCGTGTTTTTCATCTTGTATGTGGATGGATCAGAACTGAGTGATAAATAAAGATCACTTCAGCTGATGCAGTTTTGTACTTGACCCAATACATGCTCTATTATGTGTTGGTGTAGTATGTATTCACTTTAAGTACCACAAGGAAGGTAGTCACAAACTGTAGACTACTTGACCTGCTAAAGATCATAGAAATACATCTTTATACTCCTACAAATAATATCAATCTGAAATTGATAAACACAGCTTAATTTTATGGACTTATTTTCAGAAAGAAACCTTTACATGAGCTAAAAGCAAAGACAACCATCATTACTTCAGCGTACCCCTCTTAAAGGGATATCCCAGCGTAAAATTAATTTCAGGTCAAACACACCGTAACACTGAGTTAGACACCCCATTGAGAGATGAATGTTGCCGACCACTTACTTCTCTAGTTAAACCAACTTTAGTAACGACCGCGGGATAGCAATACACAGCGGTCTGAGGAGCCACACACAAACCTCAACCAAAATGCCACTCTATAGCCACAAATAATGCTCAGAACAGCACCTAACTTCATCAACAGTACATATAGGGTCCCAGCCATAGCACTAGCCACCAAACATCTTTTTAGCTTTGTCTAATTTCTTTAGAAAACAGACTAAACACAACTCACCTACTCTCTTCCAGCAGCCGCTTGTTTGTAGCGAGACCTCGGGCCAGTCCATTATGGACTACAGCCGCTCAGAGAAGAACATTTATGATCATTTGTTTATCATTTCCTTGAAGTAATAATCATCATATTAACCATTTTGCACTGCAGACACGGTAGTTCTTCTGCCTAAGCGTCTCAGTCTGATTGCATTTCCATGAAGTAGTGATCATAAATGTTCTTCTTTGAGCTGTGTCACCCCACAGCAGTCCGTAATGGACTGGCCTGAGGTCTCACTTCAAACAAGCGGCTGCTGGAAGAGAGTAGCTGAGTTGTGTTTAGTCTCTTTGCTAAAGAAAGAAAGTGAAATACAGTATGCAGCAAAAAAGCAGTTTTGATGTCAAAGATGCACCGTGAGTTACGCTTTTGACCGTTTTAAGAAAGCAGGATGAGGTTTTTAGTCAGGAATTACTCAAATTTAACTCTGTTAACTATTCAGCCTTTAACTATACCTTTGATTTCAATAACAGTAGTCTAAATCTGTTGGTTTTGTTCAAAATTCACTTAAGTTAACATTAAAACCAGCATAAAGTTGGACTTTAAGGAGATACTCTATGGGAGCTGGGGATCCCCTTTCTACCTTGTGCTCCAGTGTTTTACTGAAGTCTTACAAGTGTAATGTGAAGGTTCAAGGTTAGGTGGTTGGATAACTCTACACAGCAGGATGGAGGCAGATAACTTTCTTAACAGCACTTTCACTGTTCAGCCATCTTGTCATGAACCACAACATGACCCAAAAACTAACATCCTGGACAACCCTGATCACAGGTCACAGCACCTACCAATCAGAGGCTAGGAACTCAAAGTAAATGTAAATGAACCTCAGAAACATTCTGTATAATCTGCTCACCCTCACAAACAGCTGCAGAGAAAAGCATTCAAACTTGTAAAAAGGACCTGTCAACACTAGTAGTTCTCTGTATGAATTCTATAAACACATTTTTTTAGCTTAACTTAAAGACAGTTTACTGTAAGAGTTAACAGAAATATATGAATTGACTTCACTGTTGAAGCTCACACAAGCACTCAGTCAACAACATGCACCATGAGAACTGCATTTACACGTTTACTAACAACGAAGCTACACAGACCCACAACAAAACCGAGATATAATGCACACACTGCAGCAACACACGCACGAAAAAAACACGCGCACATACCTGTTGTTGGGCTTGACTTCCTGAGTCCATCTTCCTCTGAAGTTGGTGCCAATAATCCAGAATTTCACTGTGATGCATTTTCGGAGTTACAAGCCCATAGCTTTACTACAAACAAGAACTTTTTATCCTCGATGTCCGGTAAAACGGGGCTTTCTTTCATGCCACCTATCCGCTTCCTTGTCCAACCAGTCTGAAGGTCCTCTGGAGCAAACTAGTCTAGCCTTAAAGTCAGCTGAGAGCTTCAGTCCGCGTTAGCTCCTGATGTCTCTGCTTTATCTCCGTCCTCCTTCCAACTCAGCCTTTTAGAAGTGAATCCAAACTTATAAAGGATTGTGCTTTTCTTTCTCTTTGACATATTTTCCCACACATAGCACACGGTGCGTTTGAACCATAGACTGTAGATAGATAGATACTATGGACAACTTGGTTCCGCCTTCCGCCGGTATATGGATTTAAAGCCAAGAAGCTCTCGGTAATTGCGCGTTTTTTCTCCACTTCCGGGAAGCGAATTTTTTTTTTTTTTTTTTGTAGGATGGCGGGTGAAGGTCCCGCCCTCCTTCGCCTCTGATTGGCCCCAAGTGCTAGGCTCTGATTGGTTATTCCTTATGGCTGTGAAACATGTCTGTCGGGTTAGGTTTATGGCTAGGATTAGGATGAGGGTTAGGAGATAATGGTCTGTAATGTTCTGTTCAGTGTACAAAGCCGACAGCCGCGTCTGGTTTAAGCGTGTGATGACGTTTCCAGCTTTTCTAGCCAATCAGAGGCAAAGGAGGCGGGACTTTGCCCTAACAACCTACAAAAAAAAAATATCGCTTGCTGGAATCACCACTTGCACATTAGCATTGTATGCAATCGGCGGGAGAGTTGCCGGGAGTTGCTGTGATAACGCTCGGCTCAACCAGCATATCCCCCAGGTGAGCTACGCAATCTTCGTACACCCATAGGCTGTATCAGGTGTCATCATAGAAAACATGAACCTCCTAATAACTTGTAAAAACGGAGCTGCACATTAAAAAGAGGACTTGAGCACAAACAAGTCTTACAATACATGTCAACATCGCAAGCGGGGGGAAGGGCATTTTTATGGCAAAAGAGTTTATCAGCTGGTGGAAGAAGACTGTTTTCAATAGTAGCCCTGTACATGAACTGGTTCACACAACTTCACACAACTGCATCAGCTCTGTTCCACCAGTACTAAAAACAACCCCAGATCATCAACAATCCACCCTCATATTTTACTGTAGGGGCAAGAAGGTCTGATTTTTTGTCTTCTCCAGGCCTCCTCCTGGCCAGTAAGTTGGCTGGAGTGGGCATCAACTCAAAACTGGATTCATCAAGTGTAACTGACACTTCCTCTGCCTTTCATTGATAAAGGGCTTCTTCTGCGCCCTGTGTGACTTCAGACCAGCTTCAAGAAGATGATTTCAAACTGTTCCTGCTGAACAAGTCACATTTCTTGACAGCACCCACTCATTTTTGAGGCCCCTGGAGGTCTGATGATGGTTCCTGACACAGGGTAGAAAGACGTTTCCTTCCTAGCAATTTGGCAGTACCGTGTTTGGCTTGCTTTTTCATGGTGTAATGAACAGCTGTCTTGGAGATCCTCAGTAATTTGGCTACCTGTCTCTTACTTGTGCATATTTCCAGCATTGCCAAGATGGCTGCCTTTATGGCTTCACTCAATTCTTTTGTCTTAGGCATTATGTTGGAGCTGACAACTTCTGAGTTGTGCCATGACTTGAATGTTAGCGGTAAACAACTCTAGGCCTTTGCATGTGTAGTGCTGCTAATGACATGAAATGGCCTCTTATATACCCTGGGAAAACAATTAAGTGTGTCAAATAAGACATAAAATATTATGGAATTAGCTGCGTTTTTAGTTACGCTCATCATATTCTTCAGGTAATACACCTTTAGTGGTATCAAGAGTTAAAATGAACAAGAAATTGAAAAAAACAAGGGTGGTCCAATAATTTTTTCTATGACTGTAAGTGGAGTAAAGCAGAAATGGAAACGTCAAGCTAAATAAAGTCGAAAGACAATTAAAGTTTTTTTTGTTTTGTTTTTTTTTTTTTGTCAAAATAAGGCCCAAGTTAAAAAATAAGCCTGCCCAGCTCTGCTTCTAACACATGTTTAGGATAAGATTGGCAAAGACAAAAAGAAAGAATAATTGAAAACTTTTCCAGTGTATTTAATAAGACAAAAGCTACATCAGTGGTGTATTTCCACACACAGGAACACAGACACACACCGGTGGAGGCTGAGACTCAGTTCAAGTATCTGGGTCAGGATCTGCCTTTATTTTTTAACCAGCAAACCTTTGCTGAAGGGCAAAAAACAAACTGAACTCTATTAAATAAACTGTGTGTAAGTACCTGAGCATGTCTACCTGTGAGCGTGTATGACTTTGTGTGTGTGTGTGTGTGTGTAGACTGCACAGTGTCCTGGTCTGCTCTAACAGAGGGTTGAGTGATGTCACAGCAGACTGCATTTTAATAGAGAGGGAAGCAATTAGAGAGGGGACAGGGCAGGAGGTGGAGAGATGGAGGGGCTGTCTGTGTGACACACTAACCACAGTTCACACACATTTACACACACACTCACACACACACACATAGAAACACACACACACTCATTACTAAGGATGAGTTAATTAATTGCACCGTGATTCACGGTACTTGTAATTAATCTCAAAGGTATGTGAGTGTGTTTTTGAGAGGTGACTCTTCTTCTTTCCATTTATAACACACACTCATGCACACGCACGCGCACACACACATTCATTTTACAGACTTACACACCAGTTTTCTCCATTATGTTTTACAATAATGAAAATTTTGAAAAAAAAAAATCCTTTCACCCCCTATTCTTGTTCCCAAATTTATTCTAGCTTTTTGAATGAAACGTTGATACCTTTGTAACCTACATCCATTTTCTAATAGTTTACTGTGTCTTAAAGAAACTGTAAAGAACCTTTATTTCCCGTACAATGAATGATCACATTTGAAGGTTTATAAAGACAGTTTAAAGGCAGAATATGAGTGTGTGATTTCGGTGCCTTCAGGGGAGTTGTATTTCTCAGAACAGACAGTAAAACAGTAAGAGCTTACACTGTTTAAGTGAATAAATGATAGAGATGAGGCCATCAAACCTACTCAGCACTCTGCGTATAGTCGTAGATTTGTATTTGGTGAAAAAGATTTCCATCTAAAGGGCTCTTATTTTGTTGGGAGACAGACAGGAAAAGCCTTATGTGGTCTCACAGTCATTTACCTTGCATACTGTGTTACATCATGTCCTGGCAGAAATTGCTTTCATTCCTCTTTAGAGCTCTTAGCACATTGCTTTCTTATTTTTGGATCGCTCCAGTTGAAAAATTATACATATTAATCTTGGCCCCCTTTACCCATGATCCTTTGCATTTATCAGTACGAGCGGGAGTGGTGGGGCAATCACATTTGGAAATTAAACAAATAAAAAAGTTGAAGATAGCTGGGTGAGTGATGAGAGCAGCAAATTGGTAGCAGCATAAATCTCCGCCTGCTGCCTCCACACGTTTGGATATTGTTATGATTTTACCGTGTTTGCATATATGAGCCTAATTTATTAGAATCAAACACCATCAGGCTTATTTACAAGCCAGCTCTGGTCGGCTGCCAATAAGCCCATTAAGTGCATTGTTGGAGAGTGGTTATATGATCAAATACACAATAGTAATTGTAAGAGGAGAGAGGCCAGAGCGTTTCTCAATGAGGTGATTATCTGCACGCAGGTTATTGTGCTATTTCAGCACCACATGTAAATCAACATCTCTGTCGATCACATCTGGATGTCAGAGAAATGAGGAGTGAAAACAGCAGTGACAACTTTAAAGGATGAAGAGGGGAGAAGAAAAGTACAAGAAACCAGAGAGAAAAGCTGTATCCATAAATATGTGATATTTGATATGTATGCTCATCACTAATTTCTTGGTCTGTTTTTGTTTTCCAATAGTGTGGATGTTTGTTTGATAATGTTGATAACATATTGAATTGTGATCATCTACACACATTTTATTTTAAGTCATCTCTTGAGAAGTGTTAAAGAGGAAATATCATGCTGTTTCATTTTCATGTATCTAATATTCATACCGATATGAGCAAAGTTTCAAATCAGCACACGGACTTATGTCTAAGTAATCCCACAGGTTTCAGATTTGTCTACATACTGCTCTACAAGCTGGGTTTTACGCTTTATAAAATAAGCTGTTCCTGTAATAGTCGCACAGGGGGGAATTCTAATTCAATTTTTTTTCTCACCTTAGAAATTTGTAACATCACCAAGTCATGAAACATGTCACCAGGTCATCCTCTGGTGCAGCTGCAAAGCCAGCCAATCAGAAGAGAGGTGGGTGTGAGGGAGGGGGGACCTTAAAAAGACAGTACCTAGATTCCCCTGAGGTTGAACCTAAAGTTGTTACAGACACTGAGGCAAAATAATGAGGACTTTTTCATTGTGGATTATAAAAGCTGTAACAAAACTGGTGCCCTACAAAGGTTTTCTGATTGGACAGCTCAATGAGGAAAAAAACTGTTGATCCAGATTGGTTTAAACCTCAATAAGCACAAAAGTTAAGCTAGTTTCATATTTTTTAATGTAGCTTCATGTTAAGAGACTGCTATATCAGTATATTAATACTGACATTTTGGGGATATGTTACATGAGCTTCATAAAAAAAATAAAATAAAAAAAAACAGCTCACTGACATTTCAACACACCTTAAATACAGCCTAACACATGCATGAACATCTTCCTCACTGTGTGCTGCCTTCAAGAAATCATACAAACACACCCATGTGTACAAACTACACACACACACTCACTGACTGACACAAAAAGAGACAGAGAATACAGGGGTCCAGGGCTAAGTAAGCGGTGCAGCAGGTTATGCGTCATTTACTGCAGCTCAATAACAACCTTTCTCTCCGCCCGACACACCTGATCACACAAAATGACACTCGCTGCCCTTTGAGAAAACACACACACACACACACACACACACACACACACACACACACACACACACACACACACACACACACACACACACACACACACACATCTCCTTCCACCCTATGGTGGCCTTAACCAGACACATAACATCTCCACTCTACTATCTGCCCCTGACAGATGTATTTATGTAATGGTTTTGATGGCTATTGATTCACACGGCAGAGCCAGTTAAGAAACAGAGAAAAATGAGATTTTAAAATCAACATGGCTCTAAGGTGTTCTAGTGTGTGTGTGTGTGTGTCGCAGATAAAGCCTAAGAAAAAGACAATGCAGGGGGCGCAGGGAGAAAAGGTAAGAGAGGAAAAGCTGAGTGAGATAGCGGTGAGCAGTGTTTGTGAAACATCCAGACGGAGGAGTGACGGGACAGACTGAAAACATGCTAAACTCTGTGTGTGTGTGTGAGAGTGTGCTTTAGTGTGACCTTGGCGTGGCCTGGTGGTAAAGTGGGGCGTCAAGAGAGTCAGTGTGAGAGCAGCCAAGCGTTCTACCTCAGATTAGCGGGCTTTATTACTGCCACCAACCACTGGCCTGACAAATCCTCTTATTTCATTTTACCTTCCTTTACCTCTACCTTTCTTTTACTCTTTTCCTCTCTCTTTTATTCCCTTAAAACCTTCCCTCCCTCATTTTTTTTTGCCTCACACTTTTTCCCTCTGACTCTCTGGTACCTTTGCATGCTTTACCTTACACCCTGTAGTTTCACCTCAGTGTGTAACAGCCGCACATTTTATTCCCTCAGTTTTTCTCCTTCCCATACCTCTGCAGGTCTTTTCCTACCTTCCCGATCCCCCCTGTCCATAACCCCTTTTTTTCCACATCCCCTCCCCCTGTCTCTCTATACAGTGTGATGAATCTGTAGACAGGGGCTAATAATTGTACTTCAGCCCAAGTGCTCATTTTTCTTTGTGTTTGAAAGCTGTGACAGGCAGGGGCTCTTTTTTTCCCTCCTTCTCCCCCCCTCACCCCCTCTTTTCTCTCTCTCTTTTCTTCCCTCCTCACACAATGGGTGAGTAAAATAACTCAGGGTTTACAAGGTCATGCTGTCTAGCGGTGAGGACACGCTGGGGATTTGGAGGTTGGGAGGATTTCCTCAAAGGTGCCGTGTTGAGGCTTCAATAAAAACAGAGAAAGTTATAGATTGCAGGCAGATCTACAGGGGGACATAAGTGTGTTTGATAGTGAACAGGCTCATTGAATCACTGCTACAGTATCTTGATTCAAATGTTATCAATGCTGCTTCCTCTGAGTGTTTATAAGAGAACATGAAGCAGGGAGATACACCTGCTTTGCCACGTGTACGCCATCCTCACAACTTTCATCTTCTACTTCTAATGCTTTATTCCTGTTATATGGAAAAGTCGCTTCTTATTTTAGTGTGTTTGTGAGCTGTGTTGTGCTTTAAAAGTCTGCCAAACTGAAAGGAAAGTCAATTTTAGTGCCACTAGTTAAGACACAAATAATACACAGCACAGAGAGAGAGAGAAAGAGAGTTGTGCTGTACAAGCTTTGTGATCCTTTAATCTAATGAAAAAGTCATTTTTCAAATCTGAAAAACAAGACTTATAAAATAAAGAGATTTTCTTTTAACAAGCAGTTTTGTCCCTTTAATAAAATGCACTAATGAAGTAAAAAAGGACTCTGGGGGAATGATTGTTTAATTTACTTATGCTGCAGTTGTTAAAATAATCCGTGATCGGAGGCTTAAATAGAACTCTGCAAGGCAAATATGCAGATATCGAAAGGAAATAACATTTCCATCGACTGTACAGAGGTACTTTATGAAAATTGATCAACCGTTTTAATCACAATGTCATCCCCAAAAGAGAGCAATGGAAGGAGTGAAGGGGTGAGGTGGAGGGAGGGGAAGAGGGAGTAGGACTTTATTGCCGGCTGTAGTTAGATGGTAAATTTCCTCCTGGCAGATATTTATTGAGTTAGTCGAGTCTAGAGAGAGCTTTAACATTGATTGTGATCATTAAATATATCCGCTCGAAATGGCAACATGGCATTCCCTCAGTCAATGGAGCCGATAGAAGCAGAACAAAGGCATGATCAGATCAATCCTCTCATAATTATTCTCTGAGAGGTAGAATTAATCACAAGAAGAAATAAAAACAATAATGGAAAATGAAACGGTCAGTCGTAAACAATTATTGCCCAAATTGAAATAAAGTCAGCCGAGGGGAAAAAAAAATCAACGGTAAATCCAACTAATTAAAATATCATTCAAATGTATATTGGTTATTTGGTTTACACCAGCTTTGGGTTATTATATTGTCTTGTTCTGTTGTTATAAGAGAGGGTGATAAAGAGGCAAAGAAATGAAGAGAGACAGAGACCAAGTGTGTGTCTATGTGTGTGCGCGCGTGTGTGTGTGTGTGTGTGTGTGTGGAGGGCCTAGGGTCAAAGGATCAAGGTCCCACTCCTGTGAGAGCCCTGCTTCTATCTCCTCGCTGCTCGCTGAGAGGAAGTGTAGCTCATTGATTAGCTATCAGATGATTCCGATAGGACCTGATCGATAGGACTTTGAGAGCCAGGCAGGACCCTCCCTTTTTACTCAAACACACACTCACACACCCCGGGATCGAACACTGCAGTGCAGCGCCGCACCGACGTCTGGTTGTTTGTTGGTCTCTTGAAGATTCTTCTTTGTGTCTGAGTCCGCCCCCCTGACCGAAGGCTCCCTCAATCGCTCCGTCTGCTTCCTAAAGCTCCTCTTTCATAGAGTTGTCATTGATAAGCTGAACCTGCAAGCTTGGCTGAGCAGGATGATGTCACACACTCACAGGTTTAATAGGTGGAGCTGCAGGTTTTAGTGCTCTGGTTTCACAGGATCCAGACACTGTGTGGAATAGACAGGTAGGACTCTGAAACAGACGTGGGACAAAATCATTGTTTTGTGAGTAACAAGTGTTTGGTCTCAGATCCTGAGTCAGGTCTAAAGTCCTTAACTTTGGATTTTAAGTCCTGAACACGCCATCATCATGTTCCCCCAAATGAAATGCAAATTCAAGAGAGTATTAACCTTTTTATTTTCTCAATTGATGAATGCTTTTTAAGATTATAAGACGTAGAGTTAAACAGTGACACCAGTGTGACTGAACTTTATTACACATGATGAGCTGTGGATGCAGAAAGGAGGAACTTTTTTTTCAAAAATATTGTGCAGATGAAAAAATACTTCACTGCATTTTAGTAGTCTTTTTTTGTGTTTTTATAGCTACCTGGTATTTTATGATTGTTTTTATCGTATATAAGTCCCGCTCTGCACTTTTTCCCAATTTTTCCCTCTGGGGACCATGAAGTTTATCTAATCTACTCTGTAAATGATCCAAAAATAGAGAATCAGGCACTAAATATTTAAGGGATAATAAAGAGTCATTGTTGAAAATGATCCCAGACAAAGTGAGTCAGAACAACAACACAAGTTGCAGTGCAATAATACAACTAACAAAAAAATAAAAAAATGAGCTTGAAAAATATTTGTGGCTATTCCTTCAATAACTCTGGTATTCAACTATGTAAACAATCCACTTCGTGTTTAGTTCTAGTAATTGATCGGATGTCGGTGGGTGCTTTACACAAGTTGGATTCAGAGAAGATGAAAATAGCATCAAAATTAGCTGGAGTGAAGAGAAAAGATTCATGGCACTTTTTTTCAAATAATACACACCTTTAAATTGCAGGTGTTTTCCAAGTTTCTCGTCTTAAGTCCAAGTAAAGTTACGAGATCATGATACTAAAACTCCAGTCAAGTTGTAAGTCTTTTGTGGTGCGGTGAAGTCGAGTGCAAAGTTATCAAATTTTTTACTTAACTTTAACAGAAGTTGTGTTTCCAGTAACTATAAATGTTTGTGATTATACTCGTGTTTATTCGTTACTATATAAGACTTTGTCTTGAAGCTGGGAGCTGATTTAGTGAGGGCAAACCTGACAAAAATCTCAGGTATGAATCTTTCCTCCTGGAAGCAGCTCACAGGGTCTTGTAGTAAAATTATTTCTTAAGAACTCGGTCTTGAATTATTTGTTACTAAAGAAGTAAAATTTAAGTGAGTAATATGTTTTAGTAAATTCAGAGGAGGCAACACCAAATAGGGAGTGAACAGGTTCAAACAATAAGCATCATGGGAAGACAAAACCAGCCAACCTGCTGGTAAATAGTGTAATGAATGAGCAGGTCAGAACCATGGACAGAGCCTATTATTAATACTTTGTCAGTGCAGTTTGTTGATTTTACCTGTTAAATATGAAAACAGTTCAGTCTTTCATTTTAAAGTTACTGATGTGGTTTTTAATAAATCTAAATAACGTGTAAAGACTGAAAAGAGGTCAATACTACTGACAGCTTCATTAAAGTATCTGCTTGTTTTCTCACTTAATTCCCGTGTAAATATAACACATGGACAGAGTGTGTGTCTGTGTTTGTGTGCCCTGTTTCCCAGGTATGAACTATACTGTGAAAAAAACAGTGATAAGACACCTGTCCTCTGACTACAGTACAGATTAAAACCAGGCAGGACACCCATATCAGTATCTGAGCAGGTCACACCTGTGTGAAGGCTGGCCTGTTTCTGACCAAATGTGAGCGTATGTTCTGTGAGTTAGTGAGCGAGGAAGCGTTTGGAGAAAAAGGATGATTAAAGCAGTTATGAAACCCTGAGAAACTCTGTATGTAGGACTACTTACATATTTGACAATCCATTTAAAGGAGTGTGAGTCACCTGCGTGAAGGTGTGGTTGATCTGTTTTTAGCACACAGGTTTAAAGGTGAAGGCATATGAACAAAGCAGAGAAAATTTAATATTTTTAATGTAATAATAACTCATCAAAGACTCTGTTAATGTTAACACTGAGCACATTTTTAAAATCAGAAACAGTTCATTTTGGTCAGTGTTTCTCCCTGCACAAATATCTCCCCCTAATGGCTCAAGAATGAACAGACCTCCACTCTCTGCGTCTGAAAGGATTCACACATGTGCCTTTAAAAAAATGAGTTTTATTTAACATTTGGTTTCTCTTTTTCTCTTTTCTCTCTTACAGACATCATAAAACTGGACTGCTGATGTTTCAAGAGCAACCTACGGCACTCAGACTGCCATAAAGCACAACGTCTCCAAAGCGTCCCAACGTCAGCTTCAGGGCAACTTCAAAGCTAGAGTCCAATATTAAAACGGTGACAACGATATAACAACATGAGACTGGGATCACTCACATTCATCTAGGAGGAAACACAGAAATCAAATGTCCTGGACTCTGGAAAAAAGATCCTCCAACATCTGTATTTGCTACTCAAAGGGACATGGATCATCCTAGGAATACCTCCAAATTGGTGTTTAGACTTACCAGAGTTTAGATTATTAAAACATAGGTTGAGTCAAATAGCAAAAAGGAAAATGTAAGACGTCCACACCTGTTTAGCACATGCCCAGATATCAGGATACTGTAAATATTGTACAGAAAAGGAATAGGACCATTGATAAGAAATGAAATTATTACAGAATAATGTATATAGCCACTATACCCCTAACGCTAGTGTGTTTATTAACCATGAGTGTCACATGTCCATCATACCTTGTTTCTTCTACGCCCAAAAAAGATTCAGCACAGAATTTAAATAACCCCCGTAATGAAAAGGAAACATCAACATTAAAATAGGACATAATAAAGGATACTAGATAAACAAACATAACCTGGGAAGACGGAAATATGCCATGTAGTGCACTATTCTGGAGACAGATGCAAAATGAAACCCTGCATTTTTAGCTGGACAGGAGAGTTTGAAATCGACACACAGAGAGAGAAAAACTTAGAAGATCCCTGAATTGATCAAAAACATCCCCTTCTCATTGTAAACTACCACCGCAGGGCTGCACACAGCTTTCATTTATTTAATAGAGTGTATATGAATCCTTCCTCTACTGTGTATGTAGTGTGTTTTAGTCCCCATAGTGACGTGACATATCCAGATGGACACCCGTGGTTTGGCAGCTTTCTTGTACAGTCAGAGTACAGTTACCTTTTATTACCTTCACACCTAAATGGATGTCACTATGACCTGCTGCCCTTCCTCCAGCTGATCCCCCTGCACCACCTCCACCTCCTCTTCCACCTCCTCTGTCTGTCAGAGGGCCTGTATGCCCGCCGACCTCTCTGCGACCAGCCGCTCGCTCAGCTCCCACAGGCTAGCGGCGCTGCTCTGGTCCTGGGCCTGCATCGACGGCAGGCAGCGGAAGCAGTTGTTGAAGTACATGCCGCCCAACCCTTCCAGCTCTGGAGCAGCAGCGCAGTACACGGTGGTGGCCGCCCCTTGTTGCTGCGGACAGAGACACATGCAGAAAGAGATATTATGAGTACAAGACGGCATCAGCAGCCTGCAGGAGGAGACAAAACACAGAGAACTCACACACGGACATTGGGACATGTCCTGTCCTTAAATAAAAGAGAGAGAGGACGATATGCTCTGTCCTCTACATCTACACGCACACACTTACACACACAGACGGACACAGGTAGAAAGAGACAGCAGGACAGTGCCAACAGGAAAAAAAAGACTTCAGGTGCTGTCTCTCCCCTCCCCTCGCAGCCCTTGATGACTGGGTCATATTACCTTGGGAACAGCATAACCCCCTCCAATGTACATATATTTATATACATATCTTTATTTATTTATTTATTTCTCTACCTGCTGTGTACAGGACCTCTGGCTACATGGGACCATAAGAATGCTAAAGATGTACAAATTCACATGGGAAGGGGAAGGTGAGAACATGAATGAGAAAATAAAGGACACCAGCTCCTGTCTGGATAGTAATCACCGTGGAAACCACAGCTTTTATGTACATGTGTAAAAGAGCAGGCTTTAAGTCCATGGTTATCAAAGTGTATATTTTCACATGATGTGTACAGGGATACAGTCAGGCTCTTAAAGTTGGGAATAAGTATTGCAAATGATGCACCTACAATTCTGTACTTTAGTGTTAAAATCAGGTGTGGGTTGGTTATAGATACACAATATTTTCACACACAATTAGCAAACATAAACACACAAACACACAAACACCACAAGGCTTCTGCCCTCAGCTCTTTCTCTGTGAGCTCTCTCAGGCTAATTCAAGATCTAAAGATCACTCAAGTCTCGGCCCAGAAATTGACTCGGTTTCTCATCGTCTTGAGCTGAGACGACTGAAAAAGTAACGTCGCACTTATCAACCTGCTAAGTTCTCTAATGCACCCTGTCCCATCAGTCAGTAATTAGCAGGGATGTTCTCGGGGGGAGGAAGAGTTCTGTGACATTTGAAAATGAAAGTTGAAACTGCAGCAGAATAAACACGTCAGAGTGAATTACACACATAACCCAACTGCTCAAAGAGGGATCTTTCATGTTGTAGCTCCAGCTAAAAGCTGCTGTGACAGCTTCCTTGCAAACTCCGGGGCTGGAGACGACTTCTATACGGCCACATGAAATGGCTCGCCGCTTTATCTCTCAATGAGAGGCAGCGGGAGTGAGATGGGGGGGAGGAAGGGACACTGCTGTGAAGACTGAGGACTAATGTTCAGCACAGAGCACTGGCACAGAGTGAGACAACCCTATATACGCAAACAAACATACAAAACATGCATAATGGAGCCACGGTACATGCCAACTGTTTGAACAGCTTCATGGAGCAGCTGTGAGACCGACACACATGAAGTGCAAAGATCCATTCAGATCTGAAGCACTCATACTTTCACATGCAAGTACAACAAAAATATGCAGAGGAATGCAAATGCAATAAATGAAACACACACACACTAACACACACGCAAACCAGTTTCCAAGAAATTATTTCTCATCCATACTCACACATACACAACCCCCTCTAAGTTAACTTCCGCCAGGAGGAGCCCTGGTTGGTAGCAGAATTGCAGAAGCAGATTGAGCGTGTTTGAAGTGCAGTGTGATGATAGAGCGGGTAAACAGCAGATGAAAGGGCAGCATCTCTCTGTGTGCCGCTGTCTGTCTCACCTGCCAGCGGGGCGATAACTTCACCCACATCACATGTCGTCATATCAAAGACAGACAAATGCCAAGCAGTGTCTCCGAGTTGCAGGTTCACACACGCTCAGTTTAACTCATCTCCCTCAGCTCAGGGCATCTGATCTGGCTCGTCTGAAAGCCAAATGTCTTTTAACTCCACTGAAGATTCCTGTGCCTCTGACGCCCGCTTGAACTTGGCTGACTTTTACAGCGGTTTATTTGTGCTCTGGTCCCTGGCTGAAATGTTGATAAAAACATGTTTATGGTCATAATCCAAAGTAATGTCGCTGACTTCTTAAGAAAGTCTCCTACATGTTACTTTCCCCCCTTATTTTTGTAGTCATCAAAGGTCTGAACTTCTGTTTCTCTCTGTGCAGTTAGCGGTGCACACAGCAGTACATGTCTCTGCGTGTTATCTTATTGGTGTTTAGCTCATCCCCCCTCACCACTTGACCTGTGACCTGTGGAGAAGATAAGGCTGATGAGATTAGGCATTAACATGCTCCACCACCCACCGCAGCCGTCTATCATTGTGTGTGCATTTGTGTGAGCGAGCATGCCTGCAGATAGGAGGCGCGTGGGGTATGAGGGGATAAAAGAGGGGGCGTGTACTCACATAAAGACTCTCACATTACACATAAACACATACAGTATTCATATGTGCATGCCTGAAAATGTGCATGCGTCTGCACACAAAGACACACACACACATACTAACACTTGGATCAATCCACATGAAAGGTTCTCTAAATCAGTGTGCATCACACAGATCAGCAGCTCTTACTAACTCATGTAAAACTGTAGATTTTGCCTGTAAATTTATCTGTCTTCAAACTGAAGGATTTTTGCTGTGTCGTTCTATCCTCTGCAACTTAATGTGAACCATGACATTGTGTACAGTAGTTTTCAGTGAAATACCTGTGCTGTTTTAGAGCTGCTCTCTACTCCCCAGAGCTGTCCACTTTGACTTGCCTGACAGCTTGATGTAACATGTACTGACTACATCATTTCTCAACAGGAGCATATTAATAACATGCTGCGACGCCATGTTACATGTGATCGCAATGATTTTGCAGACTGAGCTGAAGTCATTGTAAAAACATTCATTTTTTTTCTTTAGCTGCCCATTGCTGTGCATTTGGCCAAGTCAGACAGATCATGGATCCAAACCATACATCTTATTTTGGGCCTGCCAAGCCACATCTGCATAACCAATATTAAAGTTTTAAAGCTCCTGTGAGGAATAAACTTAATACTTCATACTAATGTCTTTAAATGACCATAAAAGCAGATGAGACCACTGGACTGGAAAGAAGATTACTTGTTTTTTAACCCTTTAATGTCTGACACCACAAATTATGGCCAAAAATATCAATTTTTTGGGAGCTGATATGTTTATTTCACTCACTACTGAAAACCAAAAAAATCTAAATGTCCTTAAAATTTAACAAATATATTTATTGATCTCATTTGATCCATTAGATGTTTTTGGAAACTGATAAACTACAAGAGGACATTATCATTTATTGGACTGTATTAAGGTGTTTTTTTAATAATTTGTTGATCATATTGATTTGATAATAGTATATAAAAGTATGTATCAAATATGATACAAAGGGCATTAAAGGGTTAAATGTGTAAAATTCTGCTGTGGATTATGTGTTGCTTTCTCACAACAATAATTCACAGTAAATAACATTTTAATCTGATAAAAGAAAGAATTACATGTGGGATTAGATCAGCAAGGAGATCAAAATGACTGCTTTGTCCAAAGGGGGCACTAAAATCCCCACAAACTGCAAGTTTCTCAGAGGAGCTTTATCAGTTTAAAATAGTTTAATTTACTCTATTTTGGGACATACCATCAATGAGCGCAGTCTGTTTTACCTGACTCCTTTAATGACTTAAAATTATGTTGTTGTTTTTTTTTAAGTTAAACAGCTCTGCTACAACACAGTGTTGTTGAGGAGGAGAAAATAGGACATATGTGAGGTATGCAAGCAATCCCAAATCTTAAATGACCCTCTATGCTAAAAACAAAAAGATGATAGCACCACAGCAATATGACAAACCAAAGGAACAGGACAGCACCACATCAGAGCAGACGGTCCTCTCTGTGCATCAGCTTTGTGCGATCTAAAAAACATACCCCCCAATGCTGAAAAAGAAAAAAAAGAAGAAAAAAAACACCCTGCAATAAGTAACAACGAGCCTGCACCAAGCCTGGGATCCTCCATGGCCCTGGAAATGCTCTGGGATCAGATCCAAGTCTTCCAATCTCAGTATCGACTCAGTACCCAAGAACCTCATGGGCTTGCAATAGAAATTTCCTCGTTCAGAGTTACGCAATAATCAGGTGTTGAAAACTCCTTATTGAGCGTATTCAAAAGCAAAAAGGGGAAAGCGGTGGAGACGTGATCTTGTTGAATTAACAGTAATGTTTTTGTTCTGTTCTGTGTCTTCATCTTCCAAGTTGTACTCGGCCGTATGAGCTATTTCTGACCCTATGCATGTGACCTATGGCCCCTTGCATCTGTAGTTATGACATTGACCTCTCCCTCTAACCTGGATGTAAATAAACCCAGTACTGTAGAGCAGTCTGTTTTTTGGCCCCTTCCATGTACATACAAACCCTGTAAATACAAACAGCTATGCATGCTGAAAACCTAGCAATTCTTTCAGGTACTTTTATAATCCCCAGATTCTCATATGGCATGTGCTGAAAAAGAAAAAAAGAATAATTTAAAAAAGTAGAAAAAACAAAAGAGTCATAAAAATGAAATAAAAAAAGTTTAAAATAAATGGGTTGGTTATAATGTCAGGCAATATCCTCTCTTTGGACAGTGTGTGTAGAGTCTTCCTGTTTTCTTACTCCTGTGGGTGGTTCTCTTCCTTTGCCTGTCCTTCTGTGTTTCTGCTCACCATCTGTGTCACTTGTTGTCGGTTGGCATTTGTACAGTAGCGAGGGTTGAGGCAGAGCATGAAAAGAGAAGAGGGAGCGCTCACCAGCTGACCTCTGTGATGGCACTCCAGTTCAGCAGCAGCAGCAGCGCTAAATGTTGGCAAAGCTATTGATGCCCGGGACTCTGTCTAAGAAGTCCAGCTCCAGGCTTGAACCACAGATCATACTGTAACTGAGCTTGTCACGTGAAAGCCCTCTGGATGGGTCAAGGGAACAGGTTCATTTGGAACAACTTTTTCTTTTTTGTAATTTCTGTCAGCCTGCTTCAAGTTTGGTGAGCAGTCAGTCAATGTTTTATAAGGTTATCACGGGCTGGGAGTTTCTTTCAAAATACGATTTGACTTTCTTTTAGTCACATTTAAGAAAACTGACTCATCATCGTCAGATTTTTCCCCTCTCTTTTTACGCAGTACATGAAGAGTGTAACTTCTTTTCAACTACTGTATGTAACAAGGCTACAGCATGCTTTTTGAAAGTATCTCCTGGCTTGTAGCTGCAGTAAACGGATCAGGAGGAGTGCAGCAGTTTTTGCCTCAGCCCTCTGCCCATCCTCGTGGACTAGTTATCCTCAAGTGGGAATCCAAAGGGATTGTGATTTTGTTCTTTTTTTTTCAGCCTGTGATGTTTAAAATAGATGGAGGTGTCTGATTTTTAATCTGTGCTAAAGATATTTTACATTTAATAAATAACCATTGAAATTGAAAAACTCACACGTGTGTTTGTGTAGTTTATGTGTACGCATGTGTGTGAGTACAGATCCATCTTTGTCCTCAGCAATGCTACCCTCTGCGAGCTGACAGCTCAGCTAAGCGTGCCCGTCCCAGCTGTAGAGGGAATCCTTGGTAAGGCAGTCTCCTCAGATAAACAAGCGGTGCCTCCATACAGCTTGACCACTCATCCACGAGGAGAGGAGATTAGTACCTCAAACACCTCAGCGCACACTTCAGAAAGCACCCTAGCACTGAGCGAGTCACTCTGTGGTGACCTCTGTCACCCTGACCGAGGTAGAAAAAAAGACGTACAGTTTCCCTGATACACATCCAAGCCCTTTGTACGAGTGGGATCATGTCTGCAATCTGACTGAGAGCCTGTTTAGGCCCCCAGAGAATCTCCTCATCACAGCTCTCCCCAGTGATTAGTCTCCCCCCGGTCATCTGTATGGACTAAACTCTATTTCATATCGTCCATTAGTCCGCAGGCCGAGGGCTAATACTCACCTACGGGCAGCAGGCTCCCCTGAGGGGCATTAAGGACAGGATGGAGGGACCAGCCGCCCTGCCTCCTTCTCTTTCTCTTTCCGCTCCTTCAATACAGCTCGATCTCTCTCAGTCTTTAAACACACCCCTCCCTCCCCTGCTCTTTCCTCGGCCCCCCTCTTTTCCATCAACCATCTGCAGCCCCCGTCCTTCATAACTTACAGACCTGGGCACACAGAGGCACTGTTACCGAAGTCTCATGGGTGAGTGGTTAGAGTAGGACCTTTTGCAGGTAAATGGATCTCTTTCCCTGGAGTTTCTAAACTCTGGCAATCTTTTAAATTTCTAGGCCAGCGGAGTGATGTAGTAGATGACGAGAGGAAAAAGAGAGAGTGGGGGGATAAACTAAAGGAGTGACAGGAACACAACACAAAGCAGAGCAGAAAGCCCCCCTGCACTATTCCTCTCTTTCCCCCTTTTTACGCCAGATAAGATCAACCAAGTGTCAGTCATCTGCAGCCTGTCCGTTGTGTGTGTGTGTGTGCTTGTGTGCAAATGTGGTCTGATGCAACATCGCTGCATACGTTTAAAGCCTCCGTGTTCCAGTGAACAATAGAGACAGAACAAGGAGGAGAAAATGCAAAGGACAGAGGGGGAGAAGAGGGGTGGCATAAAGACGAGAGGAGGAACGAGGAGTGAATAAAAGGATGCAAAAGAGAGAAGGAGACGAGGGAGCTAGGATACAAGGCATCCAAGGGGAAAACGATGAGGAGTCAGAAGGACTTGCGCAATGACTGTGAAACTATCTCATTTTTATCCGGCGAGAGGACTTCCGAAGTGATCCGCACAACCTAATTATTTTCCCCTAATAAAAGCAACATATGCTAAGACAATAAAAGGCCTTATTGGACACCTATTCATTAAAGAGGAGCAGTAAAAGGAACAGGACTCTGGCACAGGGATTAGCTTTTAAAAGGGCCTTTCTCCGGTTGGAAATGGCCTTAGTCTTCCTTCAGCACGCCCATATGGGTGCAGAGCCCACCATAAAAAGATCTGAATTATACATGAAGAGGCTTGGCTGCTTTATTAGCTGTGATCGGCTTTTTCACTCTCACCTGAGTGCATCAATGAATGATGCCTCCAAGTTTGAAGTGAATCCGCGTCGAATCTCACTTACAGCGCTTCAACGCCACAGGCCTCGCAGGTTTAAGCGCAGAAAATACTGAAATGTAAAGTACATATTGGTCAGGACAAGCATTCAGCAGCAGTAAGATAACCCATAATTCTCAAAAGTTGGTTGAGTTAGTAACACCTGGTTGGAATAAGACCTGCTGGTGACTCACGTCTGACAGTTTGACACCGCCAAGTCATTATTCCATATGGTCAATGTACTGAGTGTCACTATGTTTCTATTATGAGCAGAGCGATGCTGTCTGTGTGTCGCTGTGTGAGTGTGTGATGAGCTGGTGTAATAGGGCCACACACAGGTGTGTGTGTATGCTCACCTCCTCACTGATGCACCAGCTAATTGGTCTCCTGCGGCAACCTGACATACTCATACACTCACTTTCTCACACACACGCACATTTTTAGGTGCAACTGACACACAGTGCAGTGTCCCATGGTCATATTCTTGTGTGTATAAAGCCTGCAAATAAGCCCCGCATATACAAACACAAGCAGGGCCCGCATGCACAGACGGCCTGCAGAGTGTGTTTCCAAATGAACTCATTATCACAGTGCTGACTTCAGGTGAAGAACGACACCTGAGCACCCACTGTAAAACAATACTGAGAATATCAATCAATTAAAAATGACCAGAATAATATACAGGACGTGCTAAACCAAAGTTTGAAATCTTATTTAAAGTTGTATTTCTCCAAACGCAGAACTAGGAGCACACTTCCTCAAAGGGAAAAAGGCCATTAAAACAGCAAACAGGGAAATGTATTTTCAGTTCAGCATGCAGTAAATCTTTGAGTAAGAAGTCTCTCAGTTTGAATACAAATGTCTTTATTTACTTTCTTTCTTTTTCCAGCAGCCAAATGATGCACCAACTCTTTGTTTTTCTCATGTTTTTTATGTTTCTCATGTTCGTTCTACCTCTAAAGGCTAAAGTAGAAGAAGAAAGTGTGTTCACATCTCCTGTCCTGCTCATTTATCCACCCCTCTCACTCATCCCTCCTGCCTCCCCCCTTCCTCCCCTCTCGGTGGAGGTCGACAGAGGGATGTTCTGTTTTAAATAAGAAGGCAGCACTGGCCCATTAAACTCTGATAGTAATGATATTAATTTGGCAAGAACGTGTCATTTTCACAAGAGAGCGACTAGCTGAACTGTCATTACGCACACACTTACACACACTCACACACACACTCACACGGAGGAGAAGCAGTCTCTCGTTCACACCGTCTCTCACACACATTCCCACACAAACATATCCCTCTCTCTCTCTCTCTCTCTCTCTCTCTCTCTCTCTCACTCACACACACACACACACACACACACAAAGCAGGAGCATGTCACAGGAGAGCAGCTAGCAGTAACATTATGAGAGACTTGGAGAGATCTGCTAATGGGGTAGATTAGCGTGCCCTTGGTCACAGCAGCAGTGGAGTGACTGGAGCTGTGGCTTATATCCATGTCCCACCTTTTCATCCTTTATTGGGCTTCTCTCCCGCCTCTGTTCCTTTGACCCCATCTCTCCCTTGACTTCCTCCACAGCATCACTTTTTTACTTTCTCCCTTTACTCATTTTGCTTTCTCCCCTCGAAAGTAAATTGTCAACGAAAGGTTTAAGACCAATGCTGGAAATGTCGTCTGATTAGCCGCTGAGCTGAAATCAGGGAAAGGATGATAGAGCTGTTTGTGTTGCAGGGGGGAAAAAAAGGAAAGCATTGGTGCATGATCAGAATTGTTTCTCATTATGGATCTTTGTTAATGGAGCCTAATGAGCACAGAGGACCCTCCTGATCAATACAAGAACAAAGGAATGAAAATAACAAAGCATTAGTCGTATTCTCAATGAACAGCTGTCATCGTGAACCTACAGGTTAATCTCCAAGGTCATGACAATTTGACATGCTTAATATTTAAACAAGTACATGGAAGTTTGTGAATATATTAACATATTAACTTTATCTTTCCAGAGTCTTGATTTGGGAATCCAATGAATACAATGGAGTGTACTTTCTGAACTTGACTTTTGAACTCATTATTCAAAGTAATGCTACAACAGTGTGGTGTGGCTCATTGATATCAGTGGAATTAGCTGCACCTGTATGCTTGGCCCCTTAATTAGTGGTTCAAACCCAAAGCACTACGGTGATATCTTAATTCTGCTTGACACAAAGAACATATTACTTTTGACTCCTTAACTGCATGTCTGCAAGAGTTTTTGTGAAAATGTGCCTTTCATGAGTGAAGTGGCTGGACAAAGGTGTGCCAAAATGGACAAAATAGCACTAAGATTATTCAATATTTAAAACACCTCCACTACATGATCACTGCTGATAGACCTGATAAGAAACGCTGGCTGCCTCAAGGGGCCTTGATGCTTTTAACTGGAGATTTAGCACTACTCTCTGTAAAGGATCTCGGCTTAAAGAACTTGGAAAACGTATTTATAAGCAAAGATTTCATTCATATTAAGTTTGTCAAAAAAAAAAAACAGATATATTTTGGGAAGCAGTAGCTCTGTCTGAAAGGACCTCACTTAGGAATCAGAGGGTTACCTGTTTGAACCCTGATACCAGAACTTGGGCTGGTTGCTGGGAAGAGCAAATTCATGTGGACTTGAGCAATGCACCAAACCCCCTAATACTCACTCTAGCATCTTCAACCCAGACTTTGATTCCTTCTTCATTTTCATCCTCGTCGTATTCTGTGTCTTTGTTTTTAACACATCCTGTTTTTGCGCGGCTATCTTGATGCATTCTTAAACCTTCACCCTGGTCTGTGAGCCTGTGACATTCACATCATTTAGTCTGTGTAACGTTGTTTCACATATCTTGTCTTTCAGTCCGTCTGGTACACACACAAACACACAGATGATATCTACGTATATTCCAATGCAAATTGAGGCTGAAAGCAGAATAGAACACAGAAGTATAGAGTTCATTTACCTGTTTTTATTGGTATGCTGATCTGCGAGTGTGTGTGTGTGTGTGTGTGTGTGTGCCCCAATATATCTAATACCAGAATGTGTGTGAGAGAGTGTTAAGGTGTGTAAGGTGTGTGTGTCCAAGCTGACCCCATCTCGGCACTCCTGACTGGTTGAATGCAGGCTGCATAAATTAGTGCTGATGCTCCGCGATGTAATTATGCTGCTGTCAGGACGGCCCCTCTACTCAAATTCATTTTAATAAAGTTGGTCTCCAAGGTTACCGACCAGGGGTCACCTTCGGTGTCAGCCCTTATGGATCACGCCCACGGTACGTTCTGAAAGTCTGCGGTCAGAGCACAGTAACACTTTAACACGACAGCCTGAACCCCACACACCACAACACAACACACACACAACACACACACACACCTCCCTCTGACTCACTCAGTAGAGAAAGAGGCGGGCGGCGAAAAGCAGGATGAGCGGGGGCAAGAGCGGTAAAAATCAAAGCGGTACAAAGAGAGAAGAAAGAAAGCTGCTCAAAATTGGGGGGAGTATTCGAAGGAGAGAGTTGATGGAAGAAAAGAGAGGAGAAAAGGGGAGAGGGTTTCTAAAAAGGCTGAAGGAAAAAAAGAGGGAGAATAAAAGAAAAAGAAAAAAATGAGAAGGAAAGAGTAAAAAGAGAGGAGGGAGCTAAGGGTAAAGGGACAAGGAGAGGGCGAGAGAGTGTCTCTCTTGGGCAGATGGCGGGGTGTATTCTCATTTGTCCTGCTACAGTGTGTGTGTGCTAACACTAACCTCCAGGGCAGAGCTGCAGCGCAGAACACGCTCTCAATTAGCCAATAACACAGAGCTGCACACAGCTGGGAGAGGAATCACACAAGGCTCTGTGTCTACAAAACAAACAGTTTTACATGGGGACAGAGGACATTGTCCCGGTACCAGCAGAATGAACAAACCTCCATACAAATGAACAAATCTAAATCATTCAAACAACCTGACTGTGACACACATGGACTCAGTCAGTGTTGAGACAGGTAGGCCACCTGCTGAAGTGTTTGCTGTTTAACAGCTCAATTGAACAACAGAAGGAAGTTGGAGTATTTTAATTGATGCAGGTAATATATATTTATACATAATAAAGAAAATGTAGTTTGATAAAGTGTTAGAAAACATGTTTTTCATGCGGATAAACACAGAGCCTCTTCAGCTGGACCAAGTACAGCCTCAAAGTAAGAGTGTTCTCCTCATATTTAACATTTTGCCACTTCTGTTAAATATTAGTTTCACTTTGTGTGTTGTTTTTGCTGTATGATCAGAGTAGTTGATAAGGCACAATTAAGCCCATTATTGAACTGACAATTACAATAAGACTCGTGATACATTCTTTTTACAGGCTGATAGTGTGAAGAGAAAGGCTGCTGGTAATGGCATACAACATTTTTGGCAACAAAAAAAAAACAACAACCTTATTTTCGGTTGCTCTTTGTTTGCCATGTACTTAGATTTTTCATTTTTCATTTAAAACAGAACATGAAATAAAAACTGCATTTAAAAAAACTCCAACCTTGACGTCATCACGGTTTTCCTAAATAACTGAGCTATGACCCTTTCATTATCTTACTGTCTGGCTGTATTCCTCCTCAGCCTCTGTGTGTTTGGGATTTATACGAGTCAAACTCTGAGATGTCAGAGACGTCTAAAAACAAATTCACACCAACTCCATTCCTGCACCCTCTTTGGTCTGCTATCCCTGGTTGTTTGAGAGCGGTGTGGACCGGGGGTGACTTTGACTGCCTGTGTAATAGTTACAGCCGCACGCTTTGTTAGCTGCAGGTAATTTATGGTTGAACTGGCCTGATAGTCTGATACAATCGACTGCTCCGACTGTCTTTACCGTCCAAACCCAAAGACACAAGGAAGAGTATCCGGGGACGTGTTGCTGTGGGGAAAAAGAATCTAGATTTTCACTATGAGATGCAGAGAAAAAACAAGTGTGTGACAAAAGCACGCACATGAACGAGTGATGTGGATGAAAGGGTGAGAGAAATCAAACCGTTGTCGGGCAGTTAAGTTCTCCGCATCTCTCCTGAGGTGTGCTGAGAATTAGATTGCATTAAAAGACTGACAGTCCATTCATCTGGACCAAACCAAGAAGGAACATTTAGTTAATTGAATGATTAATAAATTCAGCTCAGTCACACTATTTCACTCTGGGGTTGGCTTTGGAGAAAAATGTCTGCCCAGTGGGAGACATCATATATCACTTGTTTGAAACCCTTTGCCTAAGAACCCAAACTAATCCAGCTGTATGTACATAGACAGAGAGATACAGCAGCAGCAGCAGCAGCAGCGGAGAGCTGTTTCACCTTGTGCCGTGTCCGCCGTCCTCTGTGTTTCATCAGGATAAGATTGTGTCTCTGCAAGTTTTTTTGTTGCTGGCTCATCATTACCTCTGTCTGAGAAACACGAGTCCTTCAGTTCCAACAAAAGTGCAACTAGAGAGGCAACAAACATCTGTCTTTCTAATATGAAGAGGCACAGGAGTTTCCCACCCCTACCTACCCATAATAAAGACAGACACAGACCCTTCCTCTACACATACTTTTCCTTCATCCCCTCCCCTAATCCATTTAGGCAGGAACATCCTCACCCTCCACTCTCCTCTCTTGTACCTCTCCTCTCCTGGATCGGCTACTCTAATCTGGTCTGTCAGGCCTACCAGGTCCCTGACTGCTGTTCTCCTTTAATCTCCCACCTTCAAACAGAATGAGGATGCTTTCATAAGCCCGAGTGAGTGACAGGAAGGGGAGTCGAGTGGAGACAGCCCCGTGATGTGGACGGGCATTTTGTCCTGTTTAAACACACTAAAGCTGGATAAGAGGCCTGTCATTGGGACAGGTGGAGATGGGACAGGACAGAAGACACAGACATGATTTTATGAATGTCGAGAGAGAGGCCTGTGCAATGTGTTACATCAGATACCAGAGGATGTTACTCTTTCACCTCTAGAAGATCTGAGTGTGTAACAATGTGAAGCAAAATTCGACTGCTTAGTTAACCGAGGAACACCTGACTGATGTTTTCAAACACTAAAGTCCAACAACAGTGTTATTTCTGGGTGAAAAACTCCAATTTCTGTGTTAAATAAACACACAAATCACGAGCGAGCACACACACACATGCACACGGTCATCTGAATCACAGCTAACACATCCAGTAGGCAGGCCTTTTGGATGGATGGCACCTGCATACAGGAGGAGGGGGCACACAAATAGGATTTGGAGAGTGGAAGGGGGTGTGCAAGGTGCGGGTGAGTCCATAAATAGGATTGTGTAGGAAGCAGGGCGAGCTAAATAGGATTGTAATGTACAGGAAAGGGTGTATAAATAGGATATGAGAGTCAGAGCTGTGTTCTCACTAGTTCCACGTCCCTGTGGTATACGAGTTCTCCAGGACCGGCTAACTGTGTGTGTGTGTGTGTGTGTGTGTGTGTGTGTGTGTGTGTGTGTGTGTGTGTGTGTGTGTGTGTGTGTGTGTGTGTGTGTGTGTGTGCCCATTAATACGGAGGCTAATCTGGAGGCACCTGTCTCCTCAGGCAGAGTGTGACCTCTGCTAGCCAGGTTCACCCGTGTTTGTCCTCCCAATCCTATCCCTCACCTCCATTGAATCCATTTCTTTTCACAGTCCTACAAACCGTACTTTTCATTATCCACAGATAACAACTTTTGATTCCCTTCTCATTTTTCAACCTATTTAAGCAGGTAAACTGTAACTCCGGCTGTTTGATTCCTCTGCTACACGCACAGGCGATGGTCGAAGCTTTGTCCCCCTCGCTTCCTTCCTCGTTCCCCCCTCTGTCTCTCTTTTTTTGGGGTCAGTGGGCTTTGGGAGCTGTCAGCTCAGCGCTGGTGTCTGCTGGCTGACGGACTAAGGTCAGGAGTCAGGGGTCAGGAGTTAGAGGGCAGGATGTGACCCTAAAAACAAACAGCATAGGGAGAAGGCCATACCCACGGAAGAGCCTGTCAGTCTCCACACAGGGGGGTGTAATGTAGTGTGAACACTCATACTGTGTGTGGAAGTCTCATATTTACATGCTGATGCCCTCTTTCTTTTGCATCTGCTCACACCTGACCTGAGCGTACAGTGCGCGAGTGTGTGCGCGCGTGTGACATGTTGTACGGTGTGATGTGTGAGATGTGTCACGTTAGCATGACATGCATCTATTAGACTG